ATCGTGGCTGTCCCGGACTTAGAGTGGTGGGATTCCTCCTTGGGAGGATCTTACACCCCCACATCGGGAGGCTGAGGCAGGAGGAACACCCTGAGTTCAAGGCCAAACTGGACTACATAGTGAGTTCAAGAACAGCCCAAACTATATAGGGAGACCCTGTCTCAAAAACAAAACAAAAAAGAAAAAGAAAGAAAGAAAGAGAGAGAGAATCTGGGTGTGGTGGTGCACACCTGTAATCCTAGCACTCAGCAGGCTGAGGCAGGAAGATCACTGTGAGTTGAGGCCAGCTGGTTACACAGTGAGTTCAAGGCCAGCCTGCCTGAACTGCATAGTGAGACCCTGTCTCAAAAAACCAAAAAGGAAAGCAAACAAACAAACAGAAAGAAAGAGAACAGAGAAAGGGCCACACACACCCTAAGTGTATGTAAGTAGAAAGGAAAACATCCCCTCTAACTCCCAAACACAACCCATCCAGTTCTGCTCCTCAGCAACAATCCACAGAATCTCAGTCTACACTAAACATTCAAGAGCAGCATTTGCACACCATTTCTTTCACGGGAATCACACCCTAAAACAAGCTTAAGCCCTCACCACAGAGCTACAACCTACAGGCTCTGCCACCCTCGAGACAGAATGGGGCTCTCAGTCAGACCAGAGATCAAAGCTTATTGTGCTACCTGAGTGTGGTGGCTCACGCCTATAATCCCAGCACTCGGGAGGCTGAGGCAGGAGGATCACTGCAAGTTCGAGACCAGCCTGGGCTACATAGTGAGTTCCAGGTCAGTTTCAACTACATAGTGAGGCCCTGTCTCAAATGTCAAAAACAAATAAATAAAAAACAAAACCTGCTATGTGTGGAGTTGTTCACACGTCACACAGCTCTCAGATCTATTTCCCAAGAGTTTTTCACAAGAGAAAACTGAGACTGGACAAAGAGTCATTGGCCCAGGGTACAGAGCCAGAAGCCAGACATTTTGATCCAAATCCTTCAGAATCAGCCACATTCAGTAAGAGTCTAAAAATTCTATATTGACTCACGGTGAGGTCTTTGATTAGGAAAGCATTTTCTTTAGGTACTTTCTGGATCTTGCCAGGGCCGGTACTTCTGCTGATGCACTGGTAAGGAAAAAGGGAGGCGTCACTTGGTTCACCTGTAAGATTTTGTGTAAAGCTTCTGGAACAGTGTGAACAGTACTGAATATCAAGACCGTAGCATCTGGAGAGTAGGGGATAGTGTGCTGAGGATAATCACTTCTTTATTTGTTACAGAAATATGCTGGGAAACAGTAAGGCCTGGATCTGTTCTCCAGGGGCTCCCAGTTTGAGAAAGGAGACAGATGGACACAGGTAATCATCACGAAGCATGTGTGCAGCTCGGCAGTGGGCATTCTGGGTGTTGGTCTTTTTATTTTTTTAATTTTTAACTCTTTTTTGGAGACAGAGTCTCGCTGTATAGCCCAGTCTGGCCTTGAACTTGGCCTCCTGAGAGTGGAGTTTACAGACCTGCACCACACCCGACTGTTACTGGCCTCTTTGGGAGTTCTCATTCTGTTTTTCGAGTGAAAGCTGCCTTGACACTTTGAAAATAAAAGCCAGTGAGGTCTATAATACACTTGTTGTAATTCTGTCCATTTAGTCTCAGTGCTGCTTCTCTTGAAATCCTGAGCCCCAAGGCGACAGTGTCAGAAGTGGGGAGCAGGGAGGGTACAGGGTGGAGCCATCCCGAATGAGATTAGTGTGTGAGGACCCAGAGGAGGCTGCGGCTCTGAAGTCTGAAGGGGCTTGTGGCTGTCACCAGACCTGCAAGTGCCTGACCCAGACCCGCCCAGGCCCAGCCCCAGGTGCTACGTGGGGGATTTCACTGCAGCACCTGGGAGGAAAGGGGAGGGGCGGAGGAAGAGCCCCAGCTGCTTCTGAAAGGCAGGCGGGAGCAGCCCAGGCAGGGCAAGGCCAGGCCCCAGAAGCTCACCTGGAGGCCAGGGCGCAGCCAGGAGGTCTAAGGAGCCTCGAGGCACGTGTCAGGCACATTTTAACATTGCCCAAGGGAGCAAAGTGTACAGTGAGTGCTTAAAATTCTTTTACCGCAAAGGACACTGCTACGAATCTCCCTCAAACTACTCCATCACTTCCAACACACCTTTCCCATCGCTCTTGCCACTTCCTGAAGCAGCTCTGGAGTCCTCTTTCGTGAGGGTCTTCCGGAGGTGTGATCAAAAATATGGTGAATGCTGCCATTGCATACCATTAAAAGAAAGGCAGGATTGTGACATCACCCTGTGTCCTCGTGTGTCTTTTCCATCAGATTCAGTACTGTGTGACTTTGGGCTCTTCCCCAGAGTCAAAATGACTGTGAAAGGTCAATGTTTTGAATTGATTGAGGACATTAAGGGAGCCATGGCAGTGCAACTAGAGACCCTCGCAAAAGGGCACTTCCGGAGCTGCTCGGGGAAGGGGCAAAAAGGGTGGAGTAAGTGTGCTTGGAGCAGGGGTCACCGCGAGGCCAGGCTGCCCCCTGTGCATCTGAGGGGCCACCCGGGCCCTTAGTGTGGCCTTTCTTGTCTCCTCCGCATGGGCCCTGGAGAAAGGCAGCGTGGAGGAACTTCCCGAAGTGTACAGGGAAGACACTTGGGAGACGAAGTGGGAAGGACATCCTACTGGAAGGCGTCCCAGTTTGATTAGCACAGCTGACTGCACAGTTTCGGGGGACGCACCGGGCCACCTTACCTTGACCAGGTCCTCCAGGGTGTGCGCAGACTCGTCCACGGCGACCAGATAGTGGGGCTTCGGCACCTGGTCGATTATGTTTTGTATCACTCTTTGGAGAAGCAGGGAAAGGAACCGTCACAGGGGAGCAGCAAAGAGAGGTGATCCATTAGAACGCATGGTAGGCCACCTCTGTGGACCTATCATCCAGCTACCTAGCTACCTAATATCTATCATCTCTCTATCCTCGATTCCCAACAGTCTCCCTAGGTAACCCAGGGTGGCCTCCAACTTGCAGCAATTCTCCTGCCTCAGCCTCCCCAGCTAGTGCTTGGTGTTTTAATGTTATCACATTTAATTATCAGATCAAGCAAGGGATCTAATCTGCACTGTAAGATAGGAAGGTGCTGAGGGGTTAAGTGACGCTTGTCAGCCTGAAGAGCTACTGGGAAAACGGAGGTGCTGGCGAGGACACCCCTGCGCGGCCCAGCTTCCCGGAGTCACACAGGTGCACTTGGGGCAGGAGTTTCACCCAGTGAATCACAGATTCCGAGAAGTTCCGCCTCTTCACGAGGTCAGGCAAGGCTCAGGGCCAGGCCCGAGATTTCCTCCTCTGAGTTACTGATTGTCAACCCCACTGAATGCTCAGCTCAAGGGCTGCGGGTGTTACCCCACTGAAAGCTGAGGATGTTAGGTAATTACTACGATTGTCCCTGTTACAAAGGAGAAAAGCAGGCTCAGAGAGGAGAAGTGACTTCCCGCATTCACACAGCTCTGCGGAGGCCTGGCCAAGAGTGCAGAGCGAGAGATTCTGGGGAGAAGCAGGCTGGGTCTTTCCCAGGGCCCTGGCTTGCCCGTGTTCGTTTCCTATTCAGTAAGACGGAAGTGCGTTTCCTCTGTGTGTCACCTTCAGGGCTGGATGGTGCTGAGGGGCGGGGCCCCTCCCTAGCATGGGTGCGGTGTTGGGGTCAATTCCCAGCCCCCAAAAAGGAAAACGAAATAATCAGTGTTCATTTCACGGTTTCAATTCATGGATTTTTGGTGGTGCTGGGGATTGAACCCAGGCCTCATGCATGCTAGGCCCAGCCATCCTGTTTATTTTACATTATTTTCTCAGGACACTTTAACTTTTAGCTTCTTTCTTAAATATCTGACAATTTTCAAAGAAATCTCCAGGAAGGGGAAAATTTCAGCTCTATCTGTCTGTCTGTCTGTCTGTCTGTCTATCTATCTATCTTACTGAAAAGGGTCTCAAGTCTTTCCATAAAGGGAATTTTTCACTCTAACGTCTCTGTTTGGGACTAAAGCTAAACATTTTAAGAATGTAAGACTCCTTTATATCTTTAAAACCTGGCAACCTAAAGTAAAATCTCTGCAAAAGAGAAAGGCACATTTAGCTTATTTATTTTTGTTTTTTGGAACAGGGTCTCACTATGTAGCCTGAACTGGCCTGGAACCCACAGCAACCCTCCTGCCTCAGCCTCCTGCGTGCTGGGATTACAGTTGAGCACCACCAGGTCTGGCTGGAAAGGTACATCTTGGCCCCTTCATCCCCACAGTTAGTGTTGGCTGAAGGAGTCTGAAATTTAATGTGGTCCAAAACTTCTTTAATTTAAAAGATCTGTCCTTAAAAGCAGTAGAAAACCATTTGGTTCGTGGCCTGCAAGGCATCACGCTGGGCTGAAGTTTGAGCTTCTCTGGTTTCCGTGAACTGGTAAACGTGTGGGGCCCTGACTGGCTCCGGTGTTCCCTGGGTGAGCAGCGCCTTGGGAAGTGCAGGTCAGCTTCCTCCTGAGGCTGAGCCCTGGGGGGGAACGAAGCCCCAGGGCCCCGAGCTGAGACCCAGTTCCAGCACAGGGACCTGGCTCCACAGCCTGGCGTGGGCTGCTCTGGGTGTGGGGTCTCAGGCCCTGCCCGCACACCCATGAGCCACCGCAACTCTGGCCTTCTCCTGAGAAGCCCCACGCACTTGCAGCCCTGCAGACTGCTCAGCCCTCGGCTCCTTCTGAGGTGGAGAGGTGGAATGTGCCTGGGCCAGAGTGAAGCTACCTGGAGCTATCTTAGGCCCTTTAGAAAAATAGCTGTTTACTTTTCACCTCTAAGTAACCCTCCTGGAATGCATTGTTAGGCTGGAGCCAGCCCTGGGCCTCCTCTGATCTAGAAGCTAAGAAAATGAGTCAGATGAAGAGGTCACCACTTCCCTGCCTACCAGATGCCTCTCCCCTGTGGTCCCTGACGACAGGGTCATTGATGTCTCTGTTCTGTGGCTGTAACAGCTCAGCCACCTCTGCCGCAGCAGAACGACTTGAACCCACGGTCACCCTCTGTTCTCTACTTCCTTGAAGGCAGGACTGTTATTTTCCACCAATCCAACTGTATCTCTGCGCGTGTGGCGGGGGGGGGGAGCTTCAGATCTCTGGGTCGCTCTCAGATTTCTGGGATCTAAGCAGATGGGCTGACATCACATTCTCAGCTGGGGCAAAGGAGAAAAACTAAATCCTGGCGTGGTTCGTACCAAGCTCTGCTTCCCTACAGTTGTTGTTTCTAAGGTATGAACTTGGTCTTGCCATTAGTTTTGGGGGCTGCCAGGGTCGCTCAGGGGTAGGAGTACTTGCCTAGCATGTGGGAGGCCCGGGGTCCCACCTCCAGCCCTGTGAAAAAAACAAACTAAAAGAGCCGGGCATGGTGGTGCATGCCTGTAATCCCAGCACTCAGGAGGCTGAGGCAGGAGGATCACTGTGAGTTCAAGACTAGCCTGGGCTACATAGTGAGTTCCAGGTCAGTCTCAAGTATGTAGTGAGACCCTATCTCAAAAAGCCAAAAAAACAAAAACCCAAAAAGAAAAACAAAACTAAAAAAAGCAAAAAATTGTGGAGCTTTTAGGTGAACATTATTTGATCAGACGCAAAACGGAGACAATAACAGTACTACCAGTACCTTCTGCATAGGGTTGTCGAGAAGAATAAATAAGCTGCAGCAGTAGGTGAAAGGGCCTTTGCACTGAGTAGATGCTCAATAAATGTTAGTTTACAGATAGACCCATGAGGGCAAGGTGGTGCACACCTGTTATCCTAGCACTTGGCCACTGAGGCAGGAGGATTGCAGTGAGTTTGAGGTCAGCTGGGGCCACGAGTTCAAACCCACCTGAACTACATAGTGAGACCCTGCTATACAGGAGGGTCCCATTCCTGGGAGAGTTCTTACCCTGCCAGGTCAAGCACATGAATTGTCGGAATCACATTTGTTCCATCTCCAAAAACAGGTAACTCAGGGATGTCTCCCAGCCAAGCAAGCTAAAAGAAAGGAAGGCCACAGCGTTTGGTCCTGGGTGCGGTGTTGCAGCTCACGTAACAGGAGATCTGTCTGTGGAGAGGTCTCTCAGTGCTTCTCACATCAGTCCTGAAGACATCAGGATCCAGTCCTGCTCAGGGAGACAGCGCAACCGAAACAAAACACACTGGACAGGGGCTGGGGATGTAGCTCAGCCCCACTGCAAGGTCCTGAGTTCAATTCCTGATACCCGGAAACAAAATGAAACACCAGACAGACGGACCCCGTGTTCCCCATGGCAGCTGAAAACTGAACGTAGAGTAGTGATTAATACGGGTTAAGGGTGAAGTAGGGGAGGAGTAAAGATAGGTTAAAAGGAGACAAGGAAATTGTAATTTAAAAATTTGTACTTTCCAGAAAATTGCAGCCTCAAGACACAATCAGAGTTACCTAAGTCTCTGCTGCCTTTGTCACCCCCAGGCTGTTTATTTCCCCGCCTAACTCCTTACTCGGAATTCCTAAGTCTTAAAGCCGTGGGCCGGGCCTGTGTGCTTCTGCTCTAGCAGGAATCTACACACATGAAAGACTTCTGCTGTCAGGACCGGCAGGATTAATTCACTGGGTGCGGCTCTCTGGACTCAAACACGCAGACAGCTGTATTGCAACCTAGCTGAGAAGAGATTTTACTTTAACTCAGGAGTGCACACCAGGAACTTTCAGGAACCAGGCACTGGGGGCCTGATTACCTCAGAGAAGTAAAGGAGCATCAGACTACTGAGGCCACACAAATACCCGCAACCCCAGACCCCAGGGCTCCTCACCCCTCAAACGCCCCGCTCCTTTCTGTGTGTGCAGGAATTTGTTTCCACTTTGTACATCTGCCTACGCTTCTCACCAAGGAGGCCCGCAGTTGTTTCTGTGACAGGTCCAGAACTACTGTGGGCCAGGGGGGCCCCCTTCTCCTCTTTGGGGGAGCTTCTTGGATCCTCAGTGACAGAGAGGAGAGAGGGCAGAAACAGGGGGGTGGGTTTGACCTCTATACACTGTATACAACTGTGCAAGCATCACTGTGACCATTTACATGGACAGTTGATACATTTAGAAAAGCGGGGCATGGATTCAGTACTCTGGAGGCTGAGGCAGGAGGATCTCTGAGTTCGAGGCCAGCCTGAGATACATAGTGAGTTCAAGGTCAGCCTGAACTACATAGTGAGACCTGTCTCAGACAGACATGATTTTTAAAAAGTGCAACCTCAGGAGTATGTGCTCCTCCAGACGTCTGTAATCTTATTAGTTACTGTGAACAGTCCACTGAATGGCATCCACATAGGGAAGAAATTCTTCCACATCCAGTCATAAAAGGAATTAAATTTTAGAAGTGCCCTACTGGTAAAGGTAATTATCAAAAGTTTTTTGGTTCTTTTTTTGGAGACAGTATTGCTGTGTAGACCAGGCTGGCCTGGAACTCACAGCAACCCTCCTGCCTCAGCCTTCTGAGTACTGAGATCACAGGGGTATGCTGCCATGTCCAGCTGTTTTTTGTTTTTTGTTTTTTTTTAAATGGTAGTACTCACAGCATGCAAGAGTTCTTCCACCAAGCTACGCCCCTCACCATGTAAAACAGTTATCCAAAAACTCCATATAATGAAAAGTTATACCTTAAAAAATGTGTGTAAGATGCCTCCTTCCATGCCGTACTGCAGTCCTGCAGCGACTACATAGGTTGCAAACATTTTGGTCTATTGGATAAAATACAGAAAAAGGCTGAATATCACATTAAACGGGATTATTCCAGTCTTTCGGGCAGCACACAGGGAGCTGGGCCGACTCTTCAGGACACCCTGGGTACTCAGGACAGAATGGGTGAACAACCCCTCAGGGCCTCAGGAGGCTGCGACTCTTAATTAGTTTATTTATTTATTTATTTCTGGTACCGTGGATTGAACTCCAGACCTGATGCTTGTGAGGCAGGTGGTGGAACCACTGAGCTAAATCCCCGCCCTAGCCAGGACTCTTAGTGAAATTAAAGCCAGAGTTGTTACTTGCTGAAAACTGAATGCCTGTGAACTCTATCATTATCCCGGCATGGAGGGGAAAGGGATTACAGCAATCCCCCCCACCTCCCTGTCATTTCCTAGCAGGAGGGACAGGGGGACACAAAGTGAGTTCAGAGAAACAGGTGGGTTTCTGCTGATGTGGCTGATGTAGAATGTTTATTTGAACTGTTTGTGTGTTTGTTTGTTTGTTTTTGGTACCAGGGATTGAACTTGGGTCCTTGCCTCAATGTTTATGTGGCTTTCACAGTCAACACCATGCTCTGGCTTCCGGGGAGAATGTCCTTTTCGGGAAAGCTGAAAAGCTTCAGGTGGAGAAACTCAGGGATACCTTCGGGCTGATTCCTCTTCCTCCCTGTCCTCCCCCCACACCCCGCTAACCAGGAGGCCTTGAAGTTGCTTAACCTAAAACTCCAGGTGTGCTCCCAGCTACTCCGAAGGCTGAGAGGGGAGGAGCACGGGGAGGGACAGCCTGGCCAACACAGCAGGTCACCGGGCCAAACACCCGGAGAGCTTTGTGTAGGGGAGACAGTGGCTTTCCTGGATTGCTGACCGGAGGTCCAGTGATGGATTAGATGAGGACTTCAGTCTTACCTAAGGAAGATTTGGGAGCGGATGTGCATGCAATTGGTCTATTTCAGCCAATCCGTCACCCAGCTGGAACAGTGTGGCTGGTGCAGTAGGGTTTTTGTGGTTCTGTTTTGCTTATTTTGCCTGCTTGCCTGGTGGACCCAGGCCTTTTCCTGCTCCACCCAGGCCCGTGCAGTGGGATCGTTAATAAAACCTCACAGCTGCCACTGTCTGTAGGGTTTTGCAGGGAGGGTGGGATGTTTGTAATTAAAGGAGAGAGGATGCAGGGGGTCGAGGTCAAGCAGAGGCCGGAAGTGCCACGGTGTGGGAGAATGCGGGTCCCTGAGTGAAGCTTTTGAGGGCAATTGGTGTCACTGCACTGTGGTTTGGATCCAAATGTCCCCAAGGCCACGTGTTAAAGGCTTGGCCCACACCTTGGCACCGGTGGGAGGGGACAGGAGCTTTCCAAGCTGGGGCCCGGTGTGAGGTCTGCATCATTGGGGGTATTCTCTTGGAGAGAGATGTGAGGCCCTGTGTCCTCCTCTCCCTCACACTTGGCAGGGCAGGCCGCACGCTCCTGCCGCACTGTATGCGCCCCCCCACCCCGCCATGGACTGAAGCCTCTGAAACACCGAGCCTTCGTCTTTCTTCCTGATAAACCCATGAGCTCAGGTATTTGGTTACAACCACAGAAAGCCAACACACACTGTAGCGGGTCCCCGTCCCCTACATCTGGGCCAGTGGCAAGGGAGCAAAGCGACCCAGACCCCTAGCTTTTCCTAGCTGTTCCTAGTAAAGAGACAAGAGAAGCTTCCCAAGGGGTCTTAGCAGCTATGGCTCAAATCCTGCAGACCCTCGTGGCTTTGCAGATAACTGCGAGGTTTTAGGTGGGTAGTGTGTCATACTGCAGTGGTATCACACCCATGTTTGGAAACAGCCCAAATGCCCAGCAACTGACCTATGATAAAGGAGATTTTTTTCTGGTTGGTGCCGGGGATCGAACTCGACCTTTGCACTTGCGAGGCAGGTGGCAGAACCAGTGAGCCAAATCCCCAGCCCGAAGATGTGTGTTTTTTATACCATGGAGTACTATGTTGCCATGGATTTAGCTCAGTGGTGCTGCTGCCTGCCTTGTAAGAGCAAGGACCTGAGTTCGATCCCTAGCACAAAAAAAAAAAAAAAAAGACAAGATGGCAAGGATAAGTGCGAGACACGTCTAGCTAACTGGATGCACCTGGAGACTTTGCTCTTAAGTGAGGTAAATTGGACACACGTTTAAATACGGTGTTTTCTCTGGTGTAAGAAACCAAAAGTGGAAATAAGGTCCAACACGTATAATAGATATTGGGAAACGGGGAAAAATGTTCAAATGGGAAGGGGAACAAGGGGTGGGGCGGAGAGGAGGAGGAAAGGAAAGAAGGGACAAGAAAAAAGAATCAAAGGAAAAAATGGAGACAAAGGTTTTGTAGATAAGGAGGAGACAAAGGTTTTGTAGATAAGGAGGGGAAGGAGGATCAAAGGGGGGGGTAGGAAACAGCACAATACATGGCGTGCAGGTACAGACTTCCCGTGAAGAATGTGGCCACTGTGTACATCTAAAACGTACCATAAAGTAAAATGTACCGATGAAGGTTCTGCCTCAAAAAAACCAAAACACAAACATACATAAAACGAGTGCTGGGGTTACAGGTGTGTACCACCCTACCCGGCTTCAACAGGCGAAGAATTCGAACGAAATCACGTAACTACGGAATTCAGAACAGGAAGACATTTGGGGCGTCTGGGGCGTAGCCCTTTACTCTGCTTGTTGAAATCCCCAAAGTTGTGGGCCCGGTTGCTGCTCAGTGCTAGGGCTTCGCCGAGATAGCTCGTCCCCGGGAGGGGCACCAGCCAGGACCCCAAAGTTTAGTGCCTGGAGGAGGTAATACTTCTCTAACGGATGGAGAAGGGTCTAGCATACCTAATTCTCTCGTTTCCTTTGAATATTTTACATTCACAGGGCTGTACTGCATCGCACACGTCTTTTTTCATCCATGTTAACCGGAAAGGACAAAGTTCCTGCTGCAATATCTTCTGCGACCACTAGGTGTCACCCTAGAGCTTTCATTGCACAACGCTTAAGGGTCTTTCACTAAGGGGAAAAATGTACTGGGAACTTTGGACGTTTTGGGGTTCTATGTAAGTCCTATACAGGCGAAATGGGGACGGTGCCAGCAGTAGACTCTGCGCCGAATTTTTTTAACTTATCCGCGAGATCCTGGAGGGTTACAGGAGGCACAATAAATAAAACACTGCTAGGCATGCAGTTATAACAAGCCCTCCGTATTTTTTCAGCTGTTACTAATTCAGGTCGATTCCACCACCTATTCTGATGAAAGACAAGAGAGATACAATCATTTCATAATGGATGCACATCCAAATGATGCATTTTTCTGGGCATGGTGGTGCACACCTGTAATCCCAGCACTCAGGAGGCTGAGGCAGGAGGATCGCTGCAAGTTCGAGACCAGCCTGGGCTACACAGTGAGTTCCAGGGCAATCTCAACTACATAGTGAGAGCCTGTTTCAAGAAAAAAAAAATGGTGCATTTTGCTGGAACAGAGTTCATGAGCTCCGATGGGTCATGTCAGTCCCTCAGCTCGGGGTGTGTCTTCATCATCAGGGACGAACTCCAAGACTCTACGCAGCTCTGTGCTCAGGGAGCAGGGGAAGAATAGGGCTCACGGGTGTCAGCGTCTAGCGCAGTTTGGTGTGCATGGCAGCTGCACCTCTCGGCCTCTCCCACAGTGCCCACCTTGTCTGGGGACATGACTCACTGTCACTGCTCAGAGCAGCCCAGACAGGGCGTACGAGCTGGGCACAACGCAGGGGGAGCCTCCGCAAGCCCCATTGCCTGATTTCTAAAATGGGGCTGCTGTGTATTTTCCAGGGAAGAGAGGAAATGGGGATCCCCTCCTGCCCATCCCGGTTCTGAGGTGTTTGCTTTCCTCTGGGGATGCACAGAGCTCCATGGGACCTGCATTAGGACCCCTCAGGACAGGACATGAAGGGGTGGCCTTGTGGATAGCAGTTTCTAGGATACTAAAGAAAGAGATTTAAAAATTTTAACATTATTACCATCTTGGTTTTTTGAGGCAGGGTCTCACTGTGTAGTCCAGGCTGTCTTGAACTCACTATGTAGCCCAGGCAGCCTCCGACTGGCTGCAACCCTCCTGCCTCAGCCTCCCGAGTGCTGGGAGCAGAGGTGTGTGGTGCCACGTCTGGCCAAAGAGATGTTTCCAGAGTTCTGATGATGCAAGTAATGCCAGGAGCAGTGTGGGCCACACACAGAAAAACCAGCCAGCTATTTATCACCCTGCCTAGCGCAGGGTAGAAGTAGCCGAGGAGCAGGAGCCCGTGTAGTCAGCGTTACAGGACCTTCCCTCCCAAGCCGTCCGTGACTCCACACTCACGTTTTTTCCAAATTTGAGGACTGTTTTCTCAGCAGTTATGTGGTCCAGGAAATTGGGATGATTCTTTCTTCTCCGATAGTCCTCTTCTGTGAAGGGGACCTCGGAGTCGTCCTGTGCGACACAGAAGGTGCAGGGCTTGGAGAGGCTCCTCGACTGCAGCGGGGGCCTGGCACCAAAGCCCCAAAGCCCCGCTCCCCAGAAGGGTGCCCCTGGCAGAAGACAGTGAGGCACGTGTGGCAACTGATGGCCACAGACTGGGTTTCACACACTCCCAGCACACAGCATGCCAAGTGCCCGTGTGGGGTGACTTCGGGTTCCCTGATCTGATCACTACCCGTGGCGCACCTGATGTGGAATGTGCCCCATAAAAATGTGCACTTTGCATGTGTGAGTTAAAAATTTAAAAAGTATATTAATTTTTAAAACCATGGTGGATGATCTCACGGTGAAGGTCGTGCACTCAATCCTGGGGTCTGAAACAAACACATTTTTTAAAACCCCCAAACAGGCTTTAAAAAACTACTGCCTATTTTATTTGTGTGGTCTTTTGTGGTGCCGGGGATTGAACCCGGGGCTTGCACATTCTAAGCAAGTACTGTGCTATGGTGCTACATCTCCAGTCCACTATTGCTTACTTAATTGATTGATTGGTCTTGTGGTTCGTGGTTCAGGCTGGCCTTGAACTAACTGTGTAACTCAGGCTGGACTCAGAGTCACAGAAATCCTCCCAGTTCAGCCTCCTAGGTGGTTGGATTACAGGGTTGCACCACCACGCCTGGCTACTGCTTATTTTAATAAGATTTGCTGTCCTGAAAATGTTTTAGCTAGTCAAAAATTGTAATTTAAACTCAATCTAAACAAAATTAAAAGTGTAAATGTCTTTTTTTTTTATTTTGTAGAGAAAGTAGCAGGTTACCACTGTGCATCCATAAAGCTCTTAGACAAACCATTTCTTAATCTTGAAGTGTTGGCAACTTTATTTTTTATTTTTGCAGAGTGGGGGGTAGAACCAGGGCCTCATTGTGTCTGAGAACCCAGGTGGATCACATGCTGGACTCTTACTCTGTCTGGCTATGGTTTGTGACAACGACAGCCCATTGTCTTTCTTATTTGGAACGGTTTGGCTGAGACAGGGTCACCTCTGCTCCCTGTCTTTATTCACCGATTGGGAGCCATATCACTGGGGCCAAGCCAGTTAGCTTGTAAATAGGCAGCCACTGAGGCACAAGACCTGAGATGGGGTCAGGCTGGTCACTTTAAGAGGAAATCAGCACACACACAGGGTTCAGGTTTCCAGCGCCATAGTGCACCGAGTTCAGGGATGTAAAGCAGACGTGGGAAGTGACCACTGCAGGGGCGGAACCTCTGTTCCCCTCTGCTTTGCTCCCCCTAATTACACAGCAAGATTCCTGCCTGGCCAGATTCTGCGTGATGGGTGCGTGGCCCCTGTGGGCCCCGTTTCTTTACAACATGGATGCCCACACCCCAGTTTTATCGGCTACACCCGCCCTAAGCTGTTTTGGCCAAAGCCCCGGCCCTACATACAGCAGACCCTACACACAGAGCCTGCTGGGCCAATGTTCTCAGGCCCCTTCCCCACTGTTGGGTCCGCTCTCCCTTGCTAAACTTCCAGCAACATCCCCCGGAACTGCCTCTGTTGTCCATGGTTTCACTCTTCCACTTTGTGAGGCACCCATCTAGTTTGGACTGTAACGGTGGTGCACACCTGTAATCCCAGTCCTCTGGGAGGCTGATGCAGGAGGGTTGCAAGTTCAAGCCCAGCAAGGGCAATTTATTGACCGAGATACCCTGTCTCAAAATTTAAAATTGGACCCAGGGGTATAGGTTGGTGCAAAGGCCAATCCCCAGCACCACCAAAATAACTAGCTAACTAACTAAATAAAACCAGGTGGGTAGTACAGAAAAACAAAACACAAATATTAAGATTCTTCTACTTATTAAAATTCATAAGCCAACATTCTACGATGGTCACCCTTCTTTTATATCAGAACTAATTTTTACGCAGTTTTGTATTCATTCTGATTATCTTTGGCTACACATAACATAAAAGCAAACTCAAAGCGGCCAGCAGAATTTATCCTAGCCTGAATTGGGGGCCCTGGATGTCCCCGCGGGGCTGCCTATCTCTGCTTTGTTGAGGGGCGCCTGTCCCCTCCCCACCAGGCTCCCAGGAAGACTGGGAGCTGGGGTTCCAGGCTTCACACCCGGACTGACCCTGTACCCACAAAGGGAGGAAGACTGCGTTCGCCTTTCATTTTATTTATTTTACAGACTATAACCTGTATTGTCTTTTAATAATCACCTGGTTCATTTATCTATAAGTAAATGAAATGACCGGTCCTTTTTTTTTTTTTTTTTTTTTTTTTTTTTTGAGACAGGGTCTTGCTATGTAGCCCAGGCTGGCTTAGAACATGTGGCCATCCTCCTGCCTCAGCCTCCTGAGTGCTGGGATTACAGGTGTGCGCCAGCACACTCGGCTTATCACTTTGTTCTTGGTCAGACTCCATGGCAGCGGCATGGACGCACTGGCAAGCAGGAGCCTCACTGAGTCTCCGCCTTTGTCCTCCTCAGTTCCGTAGTTCCTGCTGCTTCCGGGCCAGGCAGTTGATGTGATAGTGCTTGGCTGCAGTGGCTGTGGGTGTGACGCCCTTGGGAGCCTTGGAGCCAGCCTCAGGCTCAGAGGAGGATGACGTGATCAGCGGCAGGAGACGCTGTGTGCTCCCAGCAAGCTCCCTAAGTAAGGACAGGAGATGAGCCGGCCAGTACCCAGTGGTAACAGGAATCTGAGCCAGCAAATCCTCTGTGCAGCACACAGTAGCAGTTTGCACCACAGCCCACAAGCAACACCCATTTGTTATGCTACACCTGCAAGGGCCACGTCCCTGGGAACCGAGTTTCTCAGCTCCATTAAAACCTTGTAAAAGAGGGAGAAGTGCACCTGGCCAATAAATACATGAAGAACTGGTCAATAGCTCTGGCCATAGCCAGCTGGGACGCAAGCCTGTAATTCCAGCACTCAGGAGGTTGAGGCAGGAGGATTGCCCTGAGTTTGAGGCAGCCTGAATTACAAAATGAGACCCTGTCTCCAAAACCCAAAACCAAATAAACAGATATCTCTGGCCATGAGAAAAGTGCAAATTAAAACTACACTGAGGGCCGGGAATTTAGCTCAGTGGTTCTGCCTCCTCTCTCGCAAGTGCAAGGACCCAAGTTCGATCCCTGGCACAAAAAACAGAACAACAAACAAAAAAACCAAAAAACCCACACTGAGATTCCATCTTACCCCAGAAAGGACAGCCATCATAAAAAAATCACATAACAAATGCTGGTGAGGGTATGGAGGAGAAGGAACCCTTCACTGTTGGTGAGAATGTAAACTGGTACAGCCACTATGGAAATCAATATGAAGACTCCCCAGAGCACTGAAAGTAGAAATTCCATTTGACTCAGCTAGTCCCCTTCTAGGTTTCTTCCGAAAGAATTAAAGACATCATATTACAGTAATCCATGCAGACCCATGTTTATGGCAGCAGAACTTGAAATAGCCAAATCTTGGAAGTGGCCCATATGTCCATCAACAGATGAGTGGGTAAAGAAACTGTGATATTTACACAAGATGGAGTACTACTCTGTCATAAAGAAGGATAAATTTGACTCATTTGAAGGAAAACGGATGCACCTTGAGACCATAATGTGCAGTGAAATAAATAAGACACACAAGCTTACATATCACATGGTTTCTCCTATAAGAGAAGCCCAAATTATAAATAAAGAGCAAAATAAAAAATAATAGGAAATAGGGAGATAGATCTATCTCAAATGGAAAGGAGCAGAGGTGTAGAAGGATGTAACTCAAAGGCTTGAGCACCTGCCTGGCAAGTGCAAGGTCCTGAGTTCCATCCTTTGGGGAGACAGAGGGAGAGGGAAAGAGATGGGAAGGGAAGGGGATGAAAAAGGAATGGAGATGTGTTACATATATGTGCCAACTCCCCACAAGGAATGCAAGCATTACGCACTACCAACATGGACTAATGAAGAAACTACGATGGTAAAAAACCCCTCACAGGACCCCATCATCCACATGGCCTGTCCTTGGCCACAACATTGCCCTGCACGCCCACGCATAGTTTAATGGGCAGCACAGTAAATCCTCGCCGTGCACAGAGGCCTTGGAGTCTGTGCTTCTCTACCGGATGTGCCCTCCCTGCAGAAGTCCCCTGAGCACACAGGTGCCAAGGTACCACGGGAGAAAGGTTCTGTGAAGAAAGCTAATGTGCTACTTACAGGGTCCAGAGGCTTGGATCGCGCCCAAGTCATCACAGTGGAGACTAAAATAAACACCTTGCGCTTTCCAAAGTGGCTGACTTCTTCATTCAGCGCTGTGAGGACGAGAGCAGAGTGATTATTTGGACCCGTGTGGACCTTGCTTTTGAAAGCAGGTGTGCTGTTCGTTCTTGTTACCAGTGGGCCCCAGGTTCCTCTTCAAGGAGCAGCTTAACACCAGGGCAATGTCTCCTCGGGTGCTTTGACGACCCTCCTACTAAACCCTTCACATCCTCCCTCTAGCTGCACTGTATTTATACACCATGGAGTACTGTGCTTCCTTAAAGAAGGATCGACTTCTCTGAGACCACAAACTTAAGAGGAATAAATCAGACACACAAATGTAAATGTCACATGGCTTCTCTTATATGTGAAACCCCAAGTACAAATAAGGAGCAAAATAAAAGATAATAGGAAACAGGGAGAGAGATCTTTTGCAAATGAGCTGGAGGGAGGGAAGCAGGAGGGGGAAGGAGATGTAAAAAGAACTCAGATGCGTTATGCACACGCACTAAATCCCCATGACGAATGTGACCATTAGACAAAGTGAACTTGTGCTAATACAAAAGTCCAGCCCCTTCCTACTTCCTGGCCTGTGGCAGCAGCCAGCTGTGAAGCCCAGACTCCGGGAGGAGGGGTCCCTGAGGAGAAAGGTTTCTTGAGAGCTGTCGGAGGAGGCTGGCCCTGAGAGCTCTGCAAGTTCCCGGGTGAGGCTGGGACAGGACCAGCGGACCCGAGAGCCAGGGCGTCCACACAAGGGCGCCTGGGGAAGGTGCGGGGGCCGTGGACACGGAGCAGGCAGTGGGCACAGGGTCGGCGCAGGAGAAGCAGCAGTGGGTGGGGCTGGCTGTCTGCAGTTTATTCACACAGAGGAGGCAATGGCACCTGACTCCGGGCCACCAGGAGTTTAGATCAAGGCTTTAATGTCCACTCAGGACCACGGTCAGGAGGCCTTTCCTACATTTCAGCCACAGCTGTCAACTGATGACTTCCCTTCCCTCAGAATTCCCTATCACCAGGGCTCCCACTGACCTGGAGGGCTGGTGACACAAACAGGGACGAGAGTCCTGGGCGTTACTGAATTCCCACTATGAGGCAGGTGTTACTGTTATCTGTTTCAACAGATGGGAAGCTGAGGCACAGTTTGCCTAGAAACCTAGGGGGAGGGACTCGGTGGGGCACACAGTCCAACCCAAGCCACCTGCCAGCCATGCAGTGCTGCCCCCACTTGGCATCCGTGAGCTGGATGGGGTTGGTAGAGACCCTGAACCCGAGTGAAGCCTTCTTAGGATTTCCCACAAGGCAGCCTGTCCAGTGTAAGCCACTGTGGACAGTGGTATTTTAGTGGGACCGCCTTTCCACTCTGGCAGGAGAGCAGCCAGTACCCCAGGGACTGCAGGCTGTGGTGGGCAGACAGGAGGGTGGGAATGCCCCCCTTTTTTTTTCTTCTCTTTGAGACCTACTTTATCTCTGTAGTTCAGGCAGGCCTTGAACTTGTGGAGATCCTCCTACCTCAGCCTCCCCAGTGCCTGGCAGGAATGCCTACTTTTGAACCCCTCATAGGGACTGGCAGGCAGAACAGATGCAGACAGAAAGAGGGGTGAGTATTTGCCTCCATCAAGGTTGCCCACATTTAATGCATGGAACACATTGTGTTGTGTGGCATTCCGGAGAAGAACCTAAGCTAAAGTGGGGTCTCATCACATGAGGCGATACAGCTGTGTTTTTAGTCCCACAAGGTGACGCCTGTTTTTATTCTAATAAAACTGTCTTTTCTATTTAATCTCTCTCTTTTAACATTTCTGCTCTGCTGTGCTTCAGCGTGGCCTATTTTGTGAATACCTGACACACTTCCAGCTCTCTGGCTGGGTTATCCTCTTTTTTTTTGTACTGGAGACTGAACTCCGGTTCTTGCACTGGTGAGGCAGGTGGCAGCACCACTGAGCTAAACACCCAGCCCTGGGTTATCCTTTTTGATTTAGGATGTTTATGATGGGCCTAAAACGACGTGTTTGTTTCCCTTCTGGACACATCCCTTATCCATATATGCAAATATCATCTCATTTCTACTAATTTATTCCTTTCTCCTATGCCAGCTTGCCCTCTTTTCACAATATCTACAAAAGGTAAGGTTAAAAATTTTTTTTTCTTTGAGATAGGGTCTCACTGTGTAGTTCAGACTTGCCTAGGCTGGCCTCAAACGCTTGCCAATCCTTCTGTCTCAGCCTCCCAAGGTAGTAGAATTCAAAAGTATTTTAAAATAATTTAATAAAACATTATTTTAAAAAAATATGAACTGGCCATGGTGGCACACACCTGCAATCCCAGCACTTTGGGAGGCTGAGGCAGGAGGATCCAAAGCTGGAGCCCAGTGTGGGCAATATAAGATTTAGTAAGACCCTGTCTCAAAATAAAAATGAATAAAAAGGGTTAGGGATATAGATCTATGCAAAAGTCTTGGAGGCTGAGGCAGGTGGAACAAAAGTTTGAACCCAGCATGAGCAACTTAGTAATTTATTGAGATCCTGTCTCAAAATTTAAAAATAAAAAGAGAAAGAGTTGGGGATATAGCTCAGTGCAGCTTTCCTAGTACCACAAAACAAAAACAAAACAGAACAACAATAAAAACAAAAAAATCCCCAAACCCTAAATATGAATTTAGTTAAAACCTTTCCTCAGAATAGAGGAATGAAATGTTCTTAATTATGTAAAGCTCTTTATCAGAGTGAAGAAGATAGCAGTAAAACATATTCTACATTTAAAGGTCATCCAACGAAATGCAACTTCAAAGTGAGAGAAATGATTAACTTCCTTGAAGGGCCAGATAATGGTCAGTGTCTGACAACCACAATGAGTAGTCTTTTTGTTTGTGTCTGTGTTTTTGGAGACAGGGTTTCATTGTGTAGTTCAGGCTGGCTTTGAACTCATGGGGATCCTCCTGCCTCAGCTTCCCGAGTGCTGGGATTATAGGCATGCACCAACACACTGGCAAAAAGTCATTTTTGTAAGATCTTTTGTTTGTTCAAGTGCTGGGGACTGCACACAGGGTCATACACCTGCTAGGTGAGTTCTTGACCACTGGGCTACCCCCTGAGTCAAGTGCAGGCATTTTTACATCCTAAGCCTTGCTTAAAGGAAGTCAAAATGCAGGGAATTGTGGCTCTTTAAGTCCTACTGTGCTTTTTAATTTTCAGAACATGTCTAGGTTGAATTTCAGAAAAAAATATTGAAAATTTAAAGAAAGTTGTAAGCATGTAATAAGAAAAATTAATTTTCACAACTTGGCACAAATAAGTGCTCATTAAATAGCAGTGCCAATTATTATTTTAGGTCACATCATCTGTAAATATTTCCAAAGGGACAAATGCAGAAAGTTGTCTTGAGCCAAGGTCTGTTCCAAAAGATGACACCGTGTCCATATTTGGGATTTGTCTTACTGAATGATACTTGGGCACAGAGGTCTAAATGAGGAATGTGAGCTGAAGTTCTCTGACGAAGCTACATCTACATTAAAGATACTGCTTTTGATCCCCAGTACAAACAAACAAACAAACAAGCAAAAATACTGCCGACTGTGTGACCTTAGTTTGGTAGAGTGTGGTGATTATGTAGAGATGGAATCAACATTGTGGGGTCAGGCGCCAAAATGGGCTTTCTTAGGTCCTTTAATAGCCAATTCTCTTTTGTATCTGACTTTAACATATCCCCCCCACATCTTTCTATGTAGCTCAGGCTGGCCTTGACCTCACAGTGATCCTCCTGCCTCAGCCTCCCAAATGCTGAGATTGCAGGTTAACATTCTCATAACAATAGAGAAGCTTCCCAGAATATATCTCTAAGTTTAACAGGCTTCTCGTCTATCAGCTTGAGAGCCAAGACGGCAGGGTGACGCTAGAGCAGACATTTTCGTGTCTTGCTGTGGCTCACCTATCTTACCCTGTGATTGGTAAATGTACTGATCTGTTTTCTTTTGTTTTGTGACTATAAAAGTTCATGTAACCTCTTCTGCAGTGAAACCTGTTATCCAAGGAGACTCGAATCTATATTCCTGGGCCACATTCACTCACATTTGACTCATAATGAACTATTTTCTTATTTTCTTTAAAGCAGAATCATTACAGGAGTCAGTCTGCCTGAGTGCCAGAGAAGTCCCACACACCCACAGCCAGTGCTCTTCTGTTTTCATTTCCTGATTATGGTGTGATCACTGGGGGGGCGGGGGTCTGTCCCATTTCTTTGAATTTAAGGCTAAATACAGTGTTGCAGTACGTCTAACTCAAGGGTCAGCCAAATATTGTCTACCCTTGTGAATAAAGATGTCCAGGAACCCAAACTGTCCATTTACACGTCACATGGCTCTGCTCCTCCCCACACAATGGCGGATTCGATGGTTCACCGAGCCAGAGATATTTACTGACTTTAGCCCTTTACACGAAGAGTTTGCTGACCTCTGATCTAGTCCAACTAAAACAAACAAACAAACAAACAAAAAAATTGAAGTTACTGAAACACAAGGTGCTTTTTGTCTTCTTTTGGCTGTCCTCACTTGATGAGAATTATTCAAATGAGCTGAGCCACTCTCCTCTGTTCCAGACTTAAAGAGGAGATAGATCACAAAAATGAGTCAGTTGCTAAACTCTACCTTGTTCTCTTAGATCTGAGGTCCTCAGAGTTCACTGTGTTCTCCAAAGTTTTTAAAATGCAAGCTTTCCCTACCCTCCACCTGACCTTTGCCACCAGGGGAGCATTTGATGAAAGGAATCAAATTCTTACAGTTAGAATCTCTTGGGTCTTGAAGTCACACCACCGCACACAAACAGTGCACCTGCCAGTTATAAGGGTTGGGGTGTAGCTCCGTGTAGAGCTTTTGCCTCATGCACACAAGGCCCCAGGTTTGAGCCATAGCGTGGCAAAAGAAAAAAAAAAGTCAATTAAAATCAGTGTCCCTGGAGATAAAAGTGCTCCTCACTGACCAGAGACAGCCCACATGGCTTCCTCTGCTTGCTTCGGACTCTCGGTGATGTTATAAATAATCGTGTTGCACTCGAGCAGGCGCAGGAGAAGGTCTCCTCGAGAGATGTTCTGGAAAGAAAAGCAACAGCCATTGGCGGTGTGAAACTGACACAGTAGCCTTCAGTTTTAGATAGAACAACTTCCCAGTTAGACATGCTCCATGGAAGAGTCCCAGAGAAAACATTGGCAGAAAGATTTCTATTCAAAAAGAAATTTTGGCTCTCTTCTGTGTGTAGTTCTTGAATAACAAGGACGTTTGTGAAAATATAGGATTGAAGGCTGCGAAAGGATGGTCTGCCTCAGGAGGGGAAGAGTTTCCTACACCGGGGGAAAATGAGTGAGGCATTGAGACTAACTCAAACTCCCTGCAAGACTAGTTGTGCAATTACATACCGGGAACCACTGGGAAGGGCTGAGGGGTGACTCATTTGGATCACTTTGGAATCCACAAGATGAAATGAATGTGTTCTCTCCATGGATGCCAGGTACCTTATTATTACACTCTGCACTTTGGAATATTTTTGAAAGATGGGAACTTTTAATTTAATTTTATTGGTACCAGGGATTGAACTCAGGACCTTACGCTTGCAAGGCAGGTGCTGGAACCACTGGGCTAAATCCCCGGTCCAAAAGATGGGAACTTTTAATGGCTAAATATATAGCGTTCTCACGTCACACAGAAGTTGCTTCGGGGATCACTGGGTTGTCAGTCCAACCAGAAAGGAGCCTCAGATTTCCAAACCAGGCTGTGTGCTTGTTGTTATCCCCATCATCCTGACCGTCAATGTTCCCCAGAGTTCCCTGACCATTCACGAGAAAGCAGAAGCTTTCAGATCATACTTGGTGTCTTATCAAACTGGACTACAGAGCAAAGGCAGGTGCATTCTTGTTCAGTTCAACAGCACACACTAGTTTCTCCTGCTCTGTCTTTAAGACTTTTTGCTTTTGGCATTATAACAAAGTGCAAGCAACTGGGAAGCTTAACCCACAGGAATTTGTTGTCTCCATTCTGGAGGCTAAAGGTCCAAGACTAAAGTGTCTGAAAATTTGTTTTCTTCTGAAGGGTGCAAGGGAGAATCTGTGCATCCCTCTGTGGTCAGTGGTGGTTGTGTTCCTTGGTTTGTAGAACGTACCATCTGATCTGTGAACTGTGTTCAAATTTTCCCCCTTAAAAGGACACCCGTCATTTTGGCCTACAGGTGCACCTTAATGGCCCTTTATCTTGATTTCCTTATAAAGACCCTGCCTCCAAATTAAGGCACATTCTGAAGTATTACAGGCTATAATATCAACATATTCTATTTTCAGAGAAGAAAATTTATTTTTAATTAAACAAAAAAATTTTTTTGAGACAAGACTTCAGTACGTAGTTCAAGCTGGCCCTAAACTCACTATGCAGCCCAGGCTGGCCTGGAACTTGTGGCAATCCTCCTGTCTCAGTCTCCCCAGTGCTGGGATTACAGCACTTGCCACCACGACAAGCCTCTGAGGACACAATTTAATCCATGATACCAGCCATTCAGGTCCTTTTGTGGGTTGAATGTGTAAGAGAGAAGATCTTCTGATGATGCCGATAGAAACACAAATCTTTATCAGTAGCAGGACAATGCAAGAGGACATTACCCCTGGTTGAATTGAGATCAGGGAATGTCACCTGGAAAGAACACTGGAGAATAAGAGTCAAAGTGTGTGTTTTACACTTGGTCCAAAAAATCAAGGAAAAACATCTATGATTCCAGCCGGTAAGAGCAGATTAGAATGGGGTCCAAAGAAGATCACACACACTTATTAAATTAATGGTCAGATCTGTTTAGGATGAAACAGGCACATTTCAAGAGCATTACTGTCCTGCTGACCCTGAGCATCACATTCATGTACTCATTTGATAACAAACTTTTGTGGATCCGCTTTTCAATCAGTGGATAGAGGCAAAAATAAATATCGTTTTTAGGGGCAGCCCACTTTCTGATCCCCCTTCTGTCTCTCTTAGACAGAAATTATTTTTCAATAAATTTTCCTACTCTTAAAAAAATTGTTTTTGATTTTAAGGGGCATCGTGTGTGTGTGTGTGTGTGTGTGTGTGTGTGTATATATGTGTTTTGGGGAAAATTTTTAGCAAAATATTAGAGTCTAAAATAGACAAAGACACAACTAAACATACATAAGGCCTCTATGAATTAGAAAACAGCAACCTGTTTTATCCCGGGGCATAAGGTAGCCAGCAGAACAAGCCCCACTCACTCCCTTAGCCAAGCACCTTGGACAGATAGTACACAACCTGTACACCTTTACCTAGCAGACCCTAACATGGAAGAGGCTATCACAGAGGCACAGTGATGTTCAGTGAAGGGAAGATGTGATTATGTCTCATAGCAGTTGACATTGGATGGGTAAATATGAGCTCACCTGGCAGAGCTGGGATGCCTAAGGAATTGGAGGTGGTTTGCTAGGCCAAACGGAAATGCCTTTCACAACCTGGACAAACCTAATGCTTTCCATCCTCATCTCACCCTCCTCTCTTCTGCCACTCTTTTTTCTTTTTTTCAGCTTTAATTGAGTTTATTGGTACATTTTAGGGATACAGTAGAGTTACATTCATTGTTGGGATCTTGTACCTCTACATGACAAGTCTTGATTCTCATTTTTTCCCCTTACCTCTGCCCTCCCTTCACCCCCTCCTCCCCTCCCCATCTACAAATACTTTTTCATCTTTTCATTCTCTCACATTTTTTTCTTTTCCCTTTTTACTCTTCCCCTACCCATCCCACCTTCCCTACACCTCTAGCTCCTTTCTTCCCATTTCTAAATGTCAGTAATCTTATTAGAATCTTATGCATTGTTGCACATTATTTACACCAGGGAAACTATTCGGTATTTACACATGTGTGACTTATTTATTTCACTTAGGAGTATATCTTCAATATGTATCCATTTTCCTATGAATGAATCTATTCTCTCGCTCTTTATGGCTGAGTAATATTCCATTTTATAGAAAAACCACATCTTCTTTATCCAGTTTCCAACGGATGGGCAAATAGGTTGTTTCCAAGATTTAGCTATTACAAACTGTGCCGCTATAAACATGGGTGCACATACTTCTCTGTGATATGATTCTTTTAGTTCTCTTGGAAAGATACCCAACAGAGGGATGGCTGGGTCAAATGGAACCTCCAGTCCAAGCTCTTTGAGGTATCTCCATATTGATTTCCATAGTGGTTGCACTAGTCTGCACTCCCACCAACAATGGAGGAGGGTTCCTTTCTCCCCACAACCCCGCCAACATTTGTTATTGTGTGATTTCTTGATAGCAGCCATTCTTTGTGGGGTGAGGTGGAATCTCAGTGTTGTTTTCATCTGCATCTCTCGAATGACCAGTGATGTGGAACATTTTTTCATATATTTTCTTGCTGCTTTCACTTCTTTGTATGAGAAATGTCTGTTCATTTCGGATGCCCATTTTTGGATCGGGTCTTTATATTTGGGGGGACTGATTGTTTTGAGTTCTTTATATATCCTTGATAATAGTCCTTTGTCTGAGGTACAGCTGGTAAAAATTTTTTCCCACATTGTAGATTGTCTCTTAGTTCTGCTAATGGTTTCTTTTGAAGTACAGAAGCTTTTTAGTAAGATGAGATCCCAGTTGTTGATTCTTTCTGCTAGTTCCCGTGCTACTGAGGATTTGTTCATAAAGTCTTTTCCTATACCAATGTCTTCCAGAGTTCTGCCTAACTTACTTTCCAGCAAGTTTAATGTTTCTGTTTTAATATTTAGATCTTTAATCCATTTGGATTTTAATTTAGTGCATGGCGAAAGATAAGGGTCTAATTTTAATCTGTGACAGGTTGATATCCAGTTTTTCCAACACCATTTATTAAAGAGGCTATCTTTCCTCCACTGAGGATGGTGAGCTCCTTTGTCGAAGATGAGGTAGCTGAGTACATCTGCATTTGTTTTTGTGTCTTCCAGTCTGTTCCATTGATCCTCAGGCCTATTTCTTTGCCAGTACCATGCTGATTTTATCACAGTGGCTTTGTAGTATAGTTTCAAATTGGGAATTGTTACACCTGGTGCCATGTGACTGTTGCCTATAATGGCTTTTGCTATTCTAGGTCTCTTGTGGTTCCAAATGAATTTTTGGATTCTTTTTTCTAGTTCTGTGAAATATAGTGTTGGAATTTCAATTGGCATTGCATTGAATGTATATAGCAGTTTCGGTAGTATGGCCATTTTCACTATGTTGATTCTTCCTACCCAGGAGCAGGGGATATCTTTCCATTTTTTTATATCCTCTTCGATTTCTTTTTTCAGAGTGCTGTAGTTTTCAGTGTAGAGATCTTTTGTTTCTTTTGTTAATTCCTAAGTTTTTAATTACATTTTTTTGGATGCTATTGTAAAAGGAATTTTTTCCCTTATTTCTCTTTCCGTGTGTCTGTTATTTGTGTATAAGAAGGCTATTGATTTTTGGGTATTCACCTTGTATCCAGATACTCTACTGAATCTGTCAATTAAGTCTAGAAGTTTTTTGGTGGAGTTTTTTGGATCTTCAATGTAGAGTATCATATCATCAGCAAATAATGATAGTTTAACTTCTTCCTTTCCTATCTTTATTGCTTTAATTTCTTTCTCTTGTCTAATTGCTGTGGCTAATGTTTCCAGAACTATATTGAAGAGAAGTGGCGATAGTGGGCATCCTTGTCTTGTTCCTGATTTTAACATGAAGGTTTTCAGTTTTTGGCCATTCAATATGATGTTGGCTGATGGTTTTTCATAAATAGCCTTTATTAAATTGAGGTATAGACCATCTATTCCAATTTTTTGCAGGGTTTTTATCATGAATGGGTGTTGAATTTTATCAAATGCTTTTTCTGCATCTATTGAGAGGATCATATGGTTTTTGTCCTTGACTTTGTTAATATAATGTATTACATTCACTGACTTTCGTATGTTGAACCACCCTTGCATCTCTGGAATAAATCCGACTTGGTCATGATGGATGATCTTCTTAATAATCCTCTGTATTCTGTTTGCTAGTATCTTATTAAGGATTTTTGCATCTATATTCATTAAGGAGATTGGTCTGTAGTTCTCCTTTTTGGTTGTATCTTTCTCTGGTTTGGGAATCAGAGTGATACTTGCTTCCAGGAATGAATTTGGAAGTATAGCTTCTCTTTCAATTTCATTGAAAAGTTTGAAGAGTAATGGTAGTAGTTCTTCTCTAAATGTCTTGTAAAATTCAGCAGTGAATCCATCAGGGCCTGGGCTTTTCTTTGTTGGTAAGTTTTTAATTACATTTTCAATTTCACTGATTGTGATTGGGGTGTTTAAAATGTTTTTATCTTCTTCGTTCAACTTTGGTAATTCATAAGTATCTAGAAATCTGTCCATTTCTTCTGTGTTTTCCATTTTATTAGAGTACAGGTTCTCAAAGTAGGTGTTCATGATCCTCTGGATTTCTTTCGGATCTGTTGTGACTTCGCCTTTTTCATTCCTAATTGCATGGATCTGAGCCTTTTCTTTCCTTTTTTTGATAAGATTAGCTAAGGGTTTGTCAATTTTATTTATTCTTTCAAAAAACCAGCTCTTTGTTTCTTTTTTTTTTTGTATCGTTTTCTTAGTTTCAATTGCATTGATTTCTGCTCGGATCTTTATAATTTCCTCTCTTGTTCGAGCTTTGGGTTTTTCTTGCTCTTGTTTTTCTAGGAGTCTAAGTTTCATCGTTAAGTTGTTTATTTGAGCCCGCTCTGTTTTCCTAGTGTGGGCATTCAATGTTATGAATTTTCCACGTAGAACTGCTTTCATTGTGTCCCAAAGATTCCTGTATGTTGTATTGGCATTCTCATTTATTTGTAAAAACTGTCTAATTTCTTCTTTAATTTCCTCTGTAATCCATTGATTGTTTAGGAGAGTGTTGTTCAGTTTCCATATGCTTGTGAAGTTTCTATAGTTTCTTGTGCTATTGATCTCCAGTTTGATTGCACTATGATCTGATAATATACAGGGGATGACTTCAATTTTTTTGTATTTATTTATGCCACTCTTACTTCTTCCTCATGGCTCCCTGTAGGCCAGGCTCTAGCTGAACTGGGGCCTTCTATTTCAGAGAACTCCATACACTTCCTAGATGTCTCCCCAAACCCATTTTCTTTCTGTATTTCCAGTAGATCACAGACGTCTCAAGGAGCCTAGGTTAACCTTGTCCTGCTGGAGGCTCTAGGACTGAAGGATCTGAGTAGCTCAGGGGTCCTCAATCTGTTTGGCAGGAAGCAGTGTGAAGCTTCATTTGTCTGGCTCAATAGACAAGACTGAAAATTGTCACCTTTCCCTTTCAGAATGCTCAGGTGCTGCTGTGTGCATCAGGCTGTTGTCATATTCATGGCTCTGCTGCAGAGTCCCTGCTGGGCTGGAAGCTCCATGTTCAACTCTGGGTACTTGGGGTGATCAATGCACATTCACTGAATCAAGTCAGGTGAACCGAGAGAGACTCGATGGTGATCTGAGCTAATGCAAAGGGCAATGAAAATGGAAAGGAGAGATGGGCCAAAGCGCCCAAGACACTGGGATGTGTGTGGCAAGGTAAATAAGAAGCCCACAGCAACCCATGGTTTTTAGTTTCAGTGAAGGGTGAGTGCAGGATGAAATATACAATAATAATATTTTCAGGTTTTATTATCATTCTTATTTTATTTATATATATATTTTTGGTACTGGGGATCAAACTTGGGTCTTTGCACTTGCAAGGCAGGAAGTGGAACCAGTGAGCCAAATCCCCAGCCCAATTATTTTTATTTTTTAAAGTCTAGGTCTTGCTTTGTAGTTCAGGCTATCTTTGAACTCACTATGGAGCCCAGGCTAGCCTTGAACTTGAGGCAATCCTCCTGTCTTGGCCTCAAATGCTGGGGTTATAGGCATGTACCACCATGGCTGACTTATATTTTATTTTTAATTGGCACATAGTTGTACAAATTTATGGGGTAAGGAGTTACATCTTGAAGGATGAACAGGACTGGTGGGGTGAGGAAGGCAGGAAGGAAGGCTGTTCTGGGGCATAATATAAGAAGCTGAATGGAAGGCTCAGAGAGAAGTAGGCTAGGTTGAGGACTAGGGGGTTTAAATGCTTCAGCTATGTAGAACTTGTCATGTGTAGGTGGCTTTCTCAGTAAGAAAGCAGCATAATGGTACACTGTCCTTGAGTGGCTCCCCCTTCCCACCTTTTTTTTCTTGATACTGGGGATTGAACCCAGAGGTGCTCCAGCACTGAGTTACATCCTCAGCCTTTTTCATTATTTAAAAAAGTTTTGAGATGGTCTTGCAAACTTGTCCAGGCTGGCCTGGGACTTGTGGTCCTTCAGGCTCACCTTCCAGGTAGCTGGGGTTGTAAGTGTGTATTACCACATCTGGCTCCCGTGTGGCTTACTATCAAAGGGTATTTCTCTTTCATGGTCGGTGCCATCATGGCCCAGAGCTGTCTTGGGTGATGCAGACAGATTTTTAAAGCACAGTATAGAGAAGAATTTTGTGAATCTGAACATCAAAATTAGAACCATCTTTTTCAACAATGTCTAATTCAAATTCTTTGCTGTGGCCAAAAATTTTCCATTTTTTTCTTTGAGACAGAGTCACTATGTAGTCCAGGCTGGCCTTGAACTCACTGTGTCATCCAGGCTGGCCTCGAACACACAACAATGCTCCTGCCTCAGCCTCCTGAGTGCTGGGATTACAGGTGTGCGCCACCATGTCTATCTTCAAAAGTTTAATGTGAGTAATTTTTGTCACAGGAGAACAGCACGTCCCTAGCCCTGCCTTTGCTGCCATGCCTTCAGAAGAGTGGGAATGAGAGTGACAACACACTGTGAAGGCACTGGTGTGGACAGGAATTCTTCCCTCTGTCCACTCCTAGCAAAGCCACCTGAACTCACCTTGTACGTTTCTGTGGCGAAGTCTGGCTGGATGCTTTCGGGCTTGGATAGAGTGCCCACGATCTGGAACGTGCTTTCCTTCTGCTTGGCTGACGGGGCTTCTGGGGCAGTGGGCTTATTTTCATCTTCATCTTCCTCTTCCTCTGTAACTTCTTCAAGGGAAGCCCCAACTACAGAGCTGGCCAGGAACTACAAGAAAACAGATTTCCCCAATACTAAAAACAAATAGAATAAAGGCAACCAGTGAGTGATGATTCTAAAAATTACCCTTTATTGAGGGCTCACAGAGCCCTCTAATTCTCACACAACATGAATTGGGTAAAATTATGACTTCCCATCTTACAGATGAGCAACTCAGATTTGTTTAAGGATATTTCCTGCAGTAGCAAGAGGCAGAGCTGGGCTCCAGTGAAAAACATTTGTCTGATCCAATTGAAATACATAACTGTGCATGACTGCGTCCTGCACGCACGCCTGCAGAGCCACATTCACTGCTACACAGTTCCCAACAGCCAACATATGGAACCAGCCTAGGTGCCCTAGGTGGAGAAATATGACATGGAAGATATACACCATGAAGTATTATTTAGCCCCAGGGAAGAACAAAATTCTGTCATTTGCAAGAAAATGGGTGGATCTGGAGACCATCATGTTGAGTGAAATACCTCAGACTCAGAAAGACAAATATCTCATGTTCTCCCTAATATGTGGAACTCTGACAAAAGAATAGGAAAGAAGACAAGAAGGTAGAAGGGAGGCTATGACTGGACACGAGGAAGGGAATACTAGGAAGGGGGAAGAGGATAAGACAAAATACATTATACACGTTGATACTACCCAAAAATAGCCTGGTGTGGTGGCGCAGGCCTGTAGTCCCAGCACTCGGAGGCTGAGGCAGGAGGACTGCCAAGAGTTCAAGGCCAGCCTGGATCTACACAGTGAGTTCAAGGCCAGTATGAACTACATAGCAAGAGTTTGTTTCAAACAACCAAAACCAAACAACGCCCCCCTCAAAAAAAACCAAAAACAAATTATGAAACTCCCCAAAGATGTGAAACAAGAGGGGAGGGGACAGGGGGGTGATAGGGGGTGAGAATGTTCAGAGTATATTATGTGTATGTATGAATCTGCCAAATGAAACTCATTGATCTGTAAAGCCAAAAAAGAGAGAGTAGACTGAACCCTGCAGCTACAGCTAAGAACCATAGCTGTCGGGTTAAAGCAAGCAAGTCATGGTGCATTGCCACCCTCTGTCAACCTCAATAAACTGTTATAGGGAAAAAAAGAATTGGACTGTGAACTGCTTAGGTGATTTAAATTTTCCTTTTCTTTCTGTAGTATTAGGGATTGAAGCCAAGGCCCAGCGCTTGCTAAGTAAGCCCTCTACCACTGGGCTCCATCCTTAGCCCAGTAACTCAAAATTTTCTAATAGCTGCATTAAAAAATTGAAAAGAAACAGGTGAAATTAACTTAAATGATGTTTTTAATTTAATCCAATGTATCAAAAATTTTATCAATTTAATATATAAATAATATACACATTCTAAGGATAATTTACATTCTTTTTATCGCCTTTGAAACTCAGTGTGTACTTACACTGGAACACTTCTGCTTTTGGAATGGGACACTGGGAGGTGACCATTGGCCACATGCGGACAGAGGCTACTGCCCTGAATAACAGGGGTGAAGTTAGCCAAGTGTCTCTTCCTGTTTTTCCAAAAGCTATCCTTGGAGGTAGCCAATCCAACATTAAAGAGCTCCATTTATATGTAAGTAAAAATCATTTTTACTTTATACATTAAACATGACATCAACACACTTGGGAATGAAAATCAACCAAACAAAAAGTTCCACCTTGGTGCTTTTCTTTTAAAAAGATTGTTCAAATTTGCACAGACAGTTGTCAACTTCAGTCTCTTACTGGAAGACATTTATCCCAAGTATATTATATATTTTTTCATTGAAATCTCCAATATATGAACATATTCAATTTTACTATCCCATTGCTCATGAGAAAATTGATGGCCAGCAGTAAGTAACTTGCCCAAGTTTACAGGAGCAGGGGGCACGGATGGAAGGGGAGACACTGCCCAGCCGGGCAGTATGCCTGACAAGAAGATTTCTTTGATATGGTTCATACTCCTGCTCCCAGATAGCTTGTACAGATTAACAGCAATTACCTGGATATTCCAGCAAGAGAGGCCCTCATTAATTCAAGACTAACCACAAAGTTCTATTACTGAGAAGTTTTTGGAAAATATCTCTGCATATCTGAAGATTTTATTATAAAAACATTAAGTTGTAAAACATAATCAGAGATTGAAACAGAGAAAGTGAGAAGTTAAAAGTCTCTCTTGTTCCCCCATTCCTGAACTCTGAATGTCACTTCCCTTGGGAACATTCACCGGTAGCTTCTGTAGAATCAGAACACAAACGAAACCAGGGCCACACTGTGACCAACTTTTGGGGGCTGCTTTTTCCATAAAAAAAATGGAAAAATTATATTTTATGATTGCATGCTATAAAGCCAAACATAGTCTTTGACACTGAAATTTCATTTGTTTTCTTCTGATTTTAAGAGAAATTAAAAGGTTTTGCAGGCCCCTAAATGCCTGGGGTGTGTGCACTGTGCCCGCTGCCATGGCTCCTGGAGAAGTCGGCCATGGAAGTCCTGCTTCCTGCCATCTGGCCACTCCGGTCTTGGAAGCCACCCACCTCATCCACCTGAGTCTCTGCCCTTGCTGTGTCCTTGTCCCTCCTCTGTCAGATGAATGTAAGCTCTCCTGAGAGCCCTTCCATCTCTCCCCAGCCATCATCACTCTCTCCGGCCTCCAGCGTGCTTGGCACACACTGAGATAGGGTGTTTACTGAAAATGTTGCTTACTGTTCAGCTCCTTCCAGGAGAGGCAGGGCCCTTGAGGGCAGCAATCTTTTGTTCTCTTATTCACTGTGTAGTTCTTTGTACTGAACACAGTGCCTGGCATTTAACAGGCACTCACTGATGTATGAATCCTGCTGTCCAGAGGTGATAAGACTTAGCTAGCTGTTTCTTGTGTTTGAGACATTTTTGTATGTGTGAATAGATGATCTATCATCTGTCTTCTCTAAATATCTGTATCTTTTTTTGAAAAACACAAGATAGACTACATTGTCCTTGAACCCAGGTCCCTGAGCATGCTTGGCGCCTCTGCTAAGTAAGCACTCTACAATTGAGCTACATTCTCAGACTGTACTTTTTTTTTTTTTTTTTTTTTTTTTTTTGAGGGGTGGAGGTTTGAGACAGGCTGGACTTGAACTCGCTATGTAGCCTAGGCTGGCCTCAAACTTTATCCTCTTGAGGGCTGGGATTATAATCATCGCCCACCATCTCTGGCTAATGTACCTGTTTTTTTTGTTTGTTTGTTTCCTTTTTTAATTTATTTTTTGTCTTGTTTTGTTTCTTTGAGACAGAGTCTCACTATGTTGTTCAGGCTGGTCTTGAACTTGCAGCATACTTCTGCATCAGCCTCCCAAATGCTGGGATCACAGGGGTGCACCACCACACCTGGCTTAATGCCCCTTTCTTTAAAAATATAGTTATTTGTGTTTAGTTTTGTTTGTATCTTTGTCCTTTCTTATATTTTTTGGTATTTTGGAAGATGTATCATTTGTTTTGAATCCCATGTAAGGTTGCTAAGGTGTGTGTCTAAAATATGCATTATCACATACAATTTTTTACATATAAATTATATAACCATCATTGACCAATGAACTTAGATGGTGTATTGGGTTGAATAGTGTCACCCTGCCCCAACTCTGGTCCTCCTGGAATGTGTAAATGTAGCCTAATTTGGAAACAGTGTCATTGCAGATGTAGATAAGCGGAAATGAAATCATACTGGACTAGGGTGGGTCTCTAATTTCATGCATGGAGTCCTATTAAGATGAAGGGAATTTGCGCAGAGAGCAAAGCACAGAGGATCATGTAAAGGAGGAGCCCAGGATGGGTCTTTCAGCCAAGAGATGCCACAAATTGCTGGCAAATGCCAGCAGATGCTAGCAGGCTGGCAGAAAGATGGCACAGCTTCTTCCATCCAGGGTCCAGCAGGAACCAGCCTGGCTGACAGCCAAACTTTGGGACTTCTGCCCTAAAGAACTGTGGGCCCAGAGGCTTATACCTGTCATCTCAGCCATTCAGAAGCCTGAGACAGGACTTTGATTTTGAGGCCAGCCTGGGAAATTTAGCAAGACTCTGTCTCAAAAGAGAGAAGGAAATAAAGAGATGGGGTGGGTGGGTAGACAGAGAGAGAGCAGCAAGCTGGGGCTGTAGCTCAGTGGTAGAGAGCTTATCTTAAATGTGAGAGGCCCTGGGTTCAATCCCCAGTAACACACACACACACACTCACACACACACACACACACACAGGCCAGCCTGGGAAATTTAGCAAGACTCTGTCTCAAAAGAGAGAAGGAAATAAAGAGATGGGGTGGGTGGGTAGACAGAGAGAGAGCAGCAAGCTGGGGCTGTAGCTCAGTGGTAGAGAGCTTATCTTAAATGTGAGAGGCCCTGGGTTCAATCCCCAGTAACACACACACACACACTCACACACACACACACACACACCATGTGCGCATGCCACATAAAGTCACCAGTTTGGTTGTGGGGATTTGTAATCACAGCTCTAGGAAACCAGTACTTAGGCACACACTGTAAGTTAGTTATTGGTGTTTAATAACTAAGCGTGATCAGGAGCCTCATGGAGGTCTTCTAGCTGAGGTTACATTTCTGTGTCACTCCTGAGGACACAAGAGCAGTGGGTCCTACCCAGGGGAAATGATTCTACGTTTTCTTCGGTCAATGTAGGATGAAGATCCCTGGGTTCTCCTTTGGAATATCTTCACTGTCCAGGGCTAAAGATGGAGAAGGGAGAGAACTTCACAGGACTCAGGGCCCGTGCATGAAAGACTCTCAGTACAGGGATAGAGAAAAGCTTCAAGAGTGATAGCCACTGGATTTACTTTTTCATCAGTGGCCTGCTTCAGACGCGGTGGCAGGATGGAAAGAGAACTGCTGGGAGGCAGACCTGGTGTGAAGGGTCAGGTCCCTTCCCGAACCTCTTGAACGCGTACTTTCCTCCCTCTTAGCCTCCGTTTCACTACATTAAGAGGAACCAGGGCTGGATTTATCATTTCCAAGCACTGGGGTGCACTGGGTTGCGGAATGGGGTCCGGTGGACACTGGCGATGCCCAGGACTGCGGAAGTCCCTTAGGGAAGGCCTGGTATCTTGCCATATGGGGTCACGGCAAGGGGCAGTGCATTGGACACTGAGGGCTGGGTCTGACTCTGGGGTCCCATCACTCACCTTCCCTATGTTTCTGCTGCTGTACGTGTCCAGCAGGTTTATAAACACCCTCTGGATCCGTAAAACTTTCTCTGTCCGAGCGGCAACGTCTTCCTCTTCAGCCATGATGGCAGCTGCGTTGGTTGCTAAGGTGACCGAGTCCTGTCCGTTGCTAAGGAGGCGGGGTCTCAGCCCTGGGAGGCGTGGTGCAAGAGCTGGGCGTGACTAGGGTTCTGGGCGAGGCTTCCGGACAGGGTGGAGACTGGCTCCCACGCTGGCCATGCTGGGTCTGCTGGGCAGGCTCCAGTGTGCACTTTTTCCATAAGGTGCTGCAAGTGCAGCTGGAGCTCCCTCTCCCCTGCTACCTGCTGCGTGCCTCGGGCAAAATGCGTCCTCCATGTGTCACAGGGGGCCCGCGCGATCTCGGTCCCCTTTCATCTCTTTTGTTGCAAAGCTCTGGACAAACACCCCAGCGCCCCCTTGATCCCGATGGCTGAAAAAATTGAATCCGATGGAAAGGCAAAGCCCCAAGGCTCAGGCCTCTCCTGAGCGGAGGGAGGAGTTACTTAAGCTCCTGTGGGCCAGCGGTGAGCCCAGACGACTGGGTACTACTGTCAAAGGTGCTGCGATGGAGTTTCCAGACCCTGGTCCCCGGCTGGGCAGCCACCGCTGCTCGGTCCACAGCGTTTACCCGCCTAGTCACTTCTGAAGCCTTTGGAAGGGCTACTTGTGCTCGAGATCCGAGATCCACATTTAGTATCTTGACACTTTCTCCTGAGAGATTACTCTCGGAGATAAACAAGTGAACTTAAAAACAGCATTCAACTTTGTAGCACAGGACCTCAAACACCATGGTGGACTATCAATATACTGTGCAGTTTAGAAGTTTGACTAGATTGAAAAATTTTTAAATATTAACTTGCTAAATGTTAATATTTAACACATGCATTTTTTTTGGTTTGTTTGCTCAAGCTTTCCCCTCAGTACGGTAGCTCTGGCTTTGAGTTCCAGCTCTGAAGCCATCTGTGCGCCACCAGGACCAGCCTTGTAACCCTCCCTAGGCCATCACACTGGCTTAAATGAACACATTCTTTAACGTGCTCTTCCAAAGTCAAACTATCGGCTGTTCCAGGAAGGCTGAGGCCCACTTCTCAGCCGCGGATGTAGCTCAGTCTGTCTGGGAGGCATGAAACTGTGGGTTCCATCCTTAGTAATACTACTTTTTGTCATCACCCCATTTTCTTTATACACGAGCCTAACTGAATGTTCTTCATTTTGATGAACTGAAAATTTGCAACCTCAATTTTAGAACAGTTTACTCGTGGTACAAGAAAGTGCTGTCAGTTTAAATGTGAACCTATTCACAAAGATCATGAAAACTTAGAGTAAATATACTTCTTTCAAATAACTTTAGAACATTCTAAAATTAACTTAATTCCTTATTTTCAAATCTTTAGTTTCTGTGTATATTCCTATTGAAAGGCAACTAGGTAAGTAAATACTTTGAAAATTATTCTGCTAGACAACTACAATAAAATGCTGTACCTTACCTTTCTTTTTTGTGTGTGTGCTGGGGATTGAACTCAGGACCTTGAGCTTGAGGAAGGTGCGCTGCCACTGAGCTAAAATCCTATTTTTTTGAGAAAGAGTCTTGCTATGTAGTTGAGGTTGGCCTTGAATTGACAGCAATCCTCCTGCCTCAGCCTCCAGAGGGCTAGGACTACAGGTGTGTGCCACCCAACTGCATTCTTACTGTTGAGTGGTAGTAAGTTCCCCCTGTGGTTAAAAAGTGGTTTCCAGATTTTATCATCCATCCACCTATCCATCATCTATCTATCTATCATCATCACCATCTACCCACCCACCATGTTAGGAAAGATGTTTTTATAGCCCTGGGGATTGAACCCAAGGTTTCATGCATGCAAGGCAAGCCCTCTACACTGTATTGCTAGCCTTCTACTGGTTAATGCTATTATATCAACAAGTATATCTTCCCATTGTTACTTTTTCCAAACCAGCCTACACATCACCACAAATTCATATGGCAGTTTTTTTTGGGGGGGGGGTACCGGGGATGGAATTCAGGACCTTTTGCTTTTGAGGCAGGCGCCGGCACCCCTTAGCTAAATCCCTGGCCCTCACGTGACAGCTTTTAACATGCACTGTCAGATGTGGGCCGCTAAAGAAGCTGCTCAAACTATCCAAGCATCAGTGATGCCTCTCCTAAAGGAAGGGGTTGAAAGGAGAGTTCCGAAGCCCCGGAGGCACTCTGTAGAGTCAGTATTTTCTGCTCTGTTCTCTCTGAACTGGCATCAGGTTGTGTTTCACAATCCAGGAGAGAAACTGCAGTGTGAGCCAGAGGAAGCTGGTGGGAAGCACAGCACAGCGGAGGTGGGACGTGCTGTGAATGACAGCCGTGCAGGAATGGGGAGGAAGTGTTGCTATGGGGAGCGAGGCGTGTACTCTGCAATAGTTACTGCATTGGAGCAGATGGGACTCAGAACAGCGGGGTGCTTTTGCTGGGACAGAAATGCTCCTTGCTCAAGTCCCACCCTGCAATCCTCCCCATCCTCTCCTTCCCTGAGATGCTGGGGTTTGAAGCCAGGACCTCATGCATGCTAAGTGCAGCTCTACTACTGAGCTGCACCCCTAGGCCCCCTTTGTCCCATTAATCAGTAGATACAAGCTAATGTAGAAAATGTGAAAAATAAAGGAAGATGAGAATTCCTTATCTCACCACCAGTGAAGATTAACATTTTAGAATTCCATTTCACCTATCTCATGTAAGATCTTTCAAAATGCAGTTTATATCCATACATAATTTTCTCCCATTCTCACTTGTCTGTAATTTTTACTTTACCATAATTTCTAATCACTGCATATTTTTCTATCAAAAGGATGTAATATAAAAGATTGTTAACATAATTTACCACTCTTTAGAGCCCTGCCAGTTTTTCATTAGAGAAAATAAACTTACTTGTAGTTCATCATTTGAATCATTAACCTATGGCAAGGTAGCGTCAGTTCAGAAGTCATAATCTCTGTAAAGATTCGATTACCAGTATTTCCAGAAGGTTTCACCAATACATTCTTCCATGGAATGCAAAGTGCTCCTCGCTAAACCCTGGTACAGTACAACTGTATTTTATTTAAAAAAGAAATCACAAATTATTAAGTGAAGTGTCTCAGTTAATTTTTTTTTTTATGTTACTAGTTGGGCATCTTTCTATCTTTAAAAAAAAAACACTTTGTGTCACCAAACATCTTTTTTTTTTGAGTTGTTAGCTATTTGCCCAGTGTTCTTTCTTATTTTTTTTCTTACTGGTTTATGACTGGAGGATATTTTTTTCTTTTTGCTTTAGCAGTGAAATCAAGGCTCAATTTATGTGGCTAAATTCTTCGAACAGTGCACACAGATCAAACAGAGGTTTCCACGTACAGTTTTACATAGTAATAGAATACCTCACTTTACCCTAAAAATAAACTATGAAGAACTAAGAAAATAGAAACAGTAGCTCTTGAAATCAATCATTTATCGCAAAACATTTTCAATTTTTAAAGATACAAGTGCTTTTCTTCATACTTAACTCAAATATGAATAAACACAATTTTGTTCAAACTTTACAAATATCATTTACAGTTAGCCTGAGATTAAGCATGAGAAAGTTCTACCTGGTTAACTTCACTGCCCCAATGGTTAAGCATCAGAAAATAAAGCTGAGAAGGAACATTGTTACCAAATGGAAAGCACTCTAGAGACATGACAAGAATAGCAATGCAGAAACCTAGTATGCTCTGTCCCACCTGACTGCTTTTCTTCTTTTCCCACGCTGGGGACTGAACCCAGGGCCTTGCACATGCCAGGCAAGCCCCTGCCACTGAGCTGCACTTCCGGCCCTCACATGAGCTCAGGGCCTAAAAATGTCTATTTTCAAAAAATAATGATGAAAAGACCAGCAGATGACAAATTCATGAACCTGTGTCTGGGCGCAGAACTGTAGTTCAGTATTTCTAAAGCAGCTGATTTCGGTGACTATTAAGAAAACAATTCCCAAATCTCTACTGTTCAACGTGTACTTGAGAACATGCAGCAGCATGGTCAAGTTTATTAAGCTTATAAATATCAGTACGTGTAATAAAATATAAAATACAGAGTATCTCTTTTCCAAATATGAAGTCTCTGAATGCTTCACTCATCCTTTGGTCTGAAACCCACACAGCACACTCACGTTACACTGGACATGGAGCACTGTTGGGGAGGGGGGTCTGCGGGAACACCAAAGCCCTATCTTACAGAAAGGAAACGTGGAAGCAAATATACTTCGAATATAGACTGTACATTATGTAAACAGACATTCGGAGAAAGAACTGACACAGGCCAGGATATTGTTTTCTAGGAAATCAGAATCTTCTTCCTTTGCAGTCACACACACTGAGGATGCTTTTTGTTGAGGACGGAGCCTGTCCCTGCATTTAGTTATGTGCTTAGAGCTCTTGGAAACGAGTAATTATTACATTCATTCGCTAACAGTTTGTTCTCTGCTTAGCTGGCTGGTTGTGGCAAACAAGGAATACAGAAACTATTTCAGTCCCTGTATCTCATTTAACACTAGTTAAATCATATGTAAGTAATTCACTTTTCAATCCATATTTGTAATATAAATAGATGAGGTGAAGCAGTGAATTTCAAAATTTGTGCGTGGAAAACTAGTTGACAGTTTGTTTCCAATAAGGCTAGTACCAAAATAATCACTACAGAGTCAGTCCAAGCTAGCAGTAAACCCCTGATTTAGCAGGCTGAATCCAAGTTTGAAGTTAGGTAATTCTAATTCCTATATTACTGTGCAAATATAGAATTTCCTATGTAAAAGAGAGTGCTGGCAGCATCGAAGCCCTGTAGTGAGAGAATGAAATACCGATTAGGTTTTGAAAGGCAGAGAATTCATGTGAAGAACTTTAAATGTCTTAGTGGTGGAATCACAGCAATGGCCTCAAACTTCCTTTAACGAATCAGAAACTAAGACAATTCATTAGTCAATGTTCTGAGTCAAAAGCTTAAATGTGAAGCGAGTGATAAGCACGCAAAACTAAAGGTGAATTTTCTACTACTATTGTATGCGAGAGTTTCAAGTTTTATGTCGACCGTTCTGTACCAGCAGCTCCCTCTGAGGGAAAGGCTTAGTCATGACTGTCCATCCCTCTTCAGAGCTTCCAGTCTCTGCAGGAGCGCATTTCCAAACGCTTCCCGGTAGGCGGGGCTGAGTGTGTCCAACAACGAGTAGACGGTTTCGTGGTAGGGCATCTGCAGATGATCCTCTACCTGGTCAAAGGCGTACCCTACCACCTGTGTGAGAGGAACGAACAGTGAGTCCACGGTCCTCAACCGGCAGGTGCAGCAGGCACATGTTACACAAAACTTATACCACGTGATACAGGAAAACCACTAGCGAAGTGCTCTCTGCAGAATTCCTTCTTCAAAATGTAAAAGGTTTGATGTACCCATTTTGCTCTGAAGAGGGATCGAGAGGAAGAAATTAAAAATTTGTACAAAAACATTATTTCATTTTCCTGTTCCAAAACATACTTCAATTTTTTACCCTATTTACATCCTATTTATATATGCACTACATTAAGGTGATATAATAGGTAATATTAGTTCATACTTTCTATCATCAAACTCCTTTTATAAGGAATTCTAGATATTATCCCTGGAAATTTCATTTTAACAATTAGTTTTAATTGGTAAGTTTCCTTTATATTTAATAATTAGTTTATTAGTTTTAGGAACTAACTTAGCTTTATAATTAATGTTAAAGGTCACTTTCACCTAATACTGACAAATGCTCAAACCATGGCATAAAAGGGACGGTTACTCTGTGACTCTTTTTTCTCTTAAAACATAGCTAAAGTTTTTATTTCCAACAAGATAAGATATATCGTGGTTCGCTGACATACTGCAGGGAAGAATTCATTCACTTCTGCTGACTTGACTAAAGCCTGTAAGCTTCCTGTAGAAATTCTACATTCTAATGCCTATTTGCTGTTTTGGTACTGGGGATCAAACGCAGGGCCTTGCATGTGCTATGCAAACGCCTTACCACTGAGCTACGGCCTCAGTCCAGTGACTTCTATTTTTTTTTTTTTTGGTACCGGAGATTGAACTCGGGTCCTTGTGCTTGCAAGGCAAGCGGTGGAACCACTGAGCTAAATCCCCGGCCCCAGTGACTTCTATTTAAGCCACCAAAAATGCAAGTGCATGTCAGAAGCAAAAGCTGAGTGCTTCATGTTAAATGAGAAGCAGAGGCAGATGCCCAAGGAAAGCGAGTCCGCCTCGTTGGCGCCATGTGGCTCGGCACGCTTCTGTGCTGCCTGGCCTTCTCTGTCCCCTGTGACTGCGACCTTCTGGGTGGACAGTGATCTCATGTTCATCCTGGCTTCATTTCCAACTGCTGACACAGGACAGCTGCTCAATAGATGCTGTGGCAGTCAGACTGAGACAGACCTGAGTGCCTACACATGCCAGGCTTACAGCCGACCCACGTCTTTCTAGGCCAGTTCTTTCTAGGCCAGTTCTCTCTACAGTCATCACCCAAATCCTTCTGAGCTTCTCATCTCCAGGTGACGAAGAGGCAGGGACTCGGAGGGATCACTTATGTTTAAGTTTCTGACTCCACCAGAACTGAGCCAGCTCAGAATTAACCAGTGTGATATAGAATAAAGTGAATGTAGTCATTGACCTCTAAATGTAACTATTTCTATTTAAGATACCCTACAGCTTTCAGTACAAATTAGGAGTTTTGGAAAGAAGTGGATAAAAATTGGTGAATTCAAGTATGAGTCCAAAAGCTAAGCAGCTACCAAGGTGGCAGTCATGAGGGTCTGGGGGCAGTGAAGACACTGGCCTTGAGATCTGCTTTTTCTTTTTCTTTTTGGTACCAGGGATTGAACTCAGGACCTTGCACTTCCAAGGCAGGCAGCGGAACCACTGAGCTAAATCCCCAGCCCGAAATCTGCTTTTTCAAGGAGCATCCAGCACTTATGGCTCATCTGGAGCAAAGGGAATCAGTGAAATCAGTGTAAGTGTTAACACAGTATCACGTGATGTCTGTACTTTCCTAGGCCCTAGGCCTTGCTCTTTATGCTCATCTGTACAAAGAAAAGTCATGTATCTTTGACCAAGACTGAAGATTAGTTAGCAAAGTGATTTTCTAATAGCTATCCCTTTGTTCAGTAAGTTCTTCATAATACAAGCTTTTTTCTTCTTTTTAAAGTTGCTCTCAGGTGTTGCTTTTTATTATTAAAGCTAAGAATCTGCTTTAAAGGCTATGGAAATGCCACTTTGTCAGGAAAGGTTCACTTGTAGTAAGAGATGCCCACAATAGAGGGCCAGGGGGAGCTGTTGAAAATGTCAGACTTAATTCTAATCTGAGAGCTGAAAATGGAGCCAAGCGCACGTCTTATGTTAACAGAAGAGGTCTGTGAGATGAGAGGCGGACACAGACTGTGTGAACACAACGGCTGCAGAACTCACTGACTGCAGAGGACATAAATCTGGTGGACACATTTAGCGGCAGATGAAAAATTTTGTGGGTGATGAATAAAGCACATAACAAGTTGCAAATAGGATTTGTCTGAAAAACTTCAATTTCCCTATGCTGACCAAAAGACTTCACAATTGGGCTGGGTGTAGCTCAGTGGCAAAGCCCTTGTCTAGCATGCAGGAAGGCCTGGGTTTGAGCCCCAGCACTGGGGAAATAAAGTAAGTAAGTAAATAAATACTTTTGCTTAAGGTAAAAACAAAACAAAACAAACTTCAAAAACTTCCAGGAAAGGTTTTCTTTAAGTAAGTTTCAGAAGCTTCCCAATATCCAGTTTTCATTTAAGACCCATACACTCCCCAGTTCCCGGTCGTTTCTGACAAAGCGGCAAAGATTTTTTGCCTGAGAAGAGTGAGTTACCCTGAGTCCTGCTTCTGTGAGCTCCAGGCAGTATCTGTTCCTTTCCTTGGTCTCCACGTTGATATAGGCCACGTCGTCTGCACAGCGCAGGCTTTTCGAGACAAACATGTTCTTAACGGCAAAGAGAACATCATTTACAACGGCTTCTGCTTCTAGTCTCATGTCTTTCACATCACTTCCTTCAAAACCATTGAGCTCTGAGCCTTCTTCAAATCCTGACATATTGCTCAGCTCCATGGGGTTACAGTCTGTTTCCATTCTGCAAAAAAGTTGGTATATGCTTTCAATAGAAGGATATAAAAAAGTCTTGTATGGTTAAAACAGCTGTTTGTTAGCTGGGTGTGGCATTTTTGTAATCCCAGCACTTGGGAGGCTAAGACAGGAGGATCGCCACAAGTAGGAGGCCAGCTTGGGTTACACAGTGAGTTCAAGGCCAGCCTGAACTACACAGTGAGACCCTGTTTCAAAGAACAAACAAAACAAAAGTTATTCTCTATGACTGCTTAATATAAAGCAAACTGGCTATCATTTTGTGTGTGTGTGTGTGGGGGGGTAGGATATTGTCTAAAACCACTGCCAGTAGTTTTCACAGTCAAATTAAAGATACATCTGGATTTTCAAAAAGGATCACTTTCTCATTGATTGTCAAAAACTTAATCCTCACTAATAAGCATTTATATTATTAGTTTTTAGCAACTTCAACCAATGCCCAGTAACAAGATTTGTGTCTACATAGTTTTAACATGTAATTATTTCTCTTGCACAGATCTGTTGATCTGGGACTGTCGGGTTAAAGGACAGCTCTTTAACAGCTGCTCTTCAAAACTCCACTTCCAAAAAGGCAGTCCTGACTTCCACACTCCACCCACGTAAGAGGGGAAGGATACTCTTCTCACCCACTCTGCAGTTCATATTTTGCCAAGTTGAGAGGCCAAAACTGCTATTTCATTATTTTATGTGTATTTCCTTGAGTAAACATCTTTTTGGATATTTACGAGTATTTTTAGTTCTAAGATCATACAACCAGAAAAAGCAAAAATGGAAATAAATTCAGGTTGTCTGAAATCAGAGTTCAGGTTCTTACCCATGAAAACAGACTACCTCCTAGTGGTTCCTTCTATAATTTCTAGACTTGGCCTTCCCTCTCCCAAGATTACATTTTAAAAATCCCGAGTTGTCTTCTAAATTCTCATTCTATCTGTATTTAAGTCTTTTATCTACCTGGAGCTTATTTCCTGTGGCTTCACTTTCCAAATGGATACCCTAATGTCCTAACACCATTTACTATACAACTTGCTTTTTCTCCACTTATTTGAACTGGTACATCTATGATATTTTAAAAAATATTACTTCTCAAGCTAACCTGATCCTATTTGACTGCCCAACCACTATTAGTTCTAGCATTTCTCCTGTGATTGGGGATAAAAAAGATTTTCTTGACAATGAGCACTACTGCAATTTGAAATGTATGAAGGAGGCAAGCTAACAAATGTGGACTGTGCTAGAAAGGTGAAAGGGCTTCAGTGAACAAGATAACAGCCTTTTCTTTTAACTGGCAGTTCTGAAAAATAAACTACAGTTTTCATTCTTCTGATGTGGACCAAGCAGCTGCTGTCCTGAACGCAGCCCAGCTCTTCATTCAGTCACAGATTCAATTAACATTCATTTCCTATTTACCTGAGCCCCTCCCCTTCACCGCACTGGAGAACTCGGACTAGATCAGTAATAACCTTTTCTGACAGCGCCGACGGCTCCTAATACCATCCATCTGTTACATTATGCATTCCGTTTCTTTTTCTAAAGTTGCCCACGATGTTCAGCGGTTCTCCACCTCTGCTGCTCCTGAGCCTCCCCGGGAACTTACACAGATACAGACACCAGCCCTCTGCAGAGAAACAGAGCCACAATGCCTAGGAGACAGGCAGTCTTCTGCACAGCTCCAGTCTGTACAGCGACTGCTTTAATTTTCAGCAGATTTGTTTTTTCTTTTGCAGTGCTGAGCCTCAAACCCAGGGCTGGGCTCATGCACACTCTGGGTGAGCCCTCTAATAGGGAGTTACATCTTTGGTCCAGCACAAATTTTTTTTTTCTTGGTACCAGGAATGGAACTCAGGACACTGTGCTTGCCAGGCTCTGCACAAGACCCCCCACCCACCCCTTTTAAAAAAGGTTTTCTTTTTATTAATATGACTGATGATTGCTCGCTACTCTCTACTTACCCTGTAAATCTTTCATCTGTTTACCTTACTTCAGACTTCTCTGACAAAAGTCACCAGGAAACTGCTGATCCATTCTATCCTATTCATTAGACTAAGTGGCAGTTAGATAAAGCAAAAGACCCACAGACTGTGATCCTCTCCACCCTGAAGTGCACTACTGCTGCAGGGCCGACCCAGGAAGGAGGTTAGGACAGGGCCTATGGAACACAGCTCCAGCTCTTACCTGACGAGCTTCTGAATGGAACTGCTACCAGCAGCTACACACTTCAGTGACTACAGTAAAATAGGGAACGGTATATCAGGCTACTTAGTTCTGTCATCTATTTTTTTTGTGACAGTGCCCCACTGTGGAGCTCAGGCTGGTCATGAACTCTTTATGCAGTCCAAGTAGTCCATGCTGGTCTCAAATCTGTGATTCTCCTGCCTCAGATTCCAAAGTGGTGTGGATTACTACCATGTCACTTTATGTTTTTATCTTCTTGAATTTAAACTACAGCTGAAAGAAAGCTTGCTGGGCCAGGCTTCAGCCCGGGGAACTTTAATACCTGCAAGCACAGGGTCAGCCTATTCCCAGAGGCCCTCTGTGGTATGAGGTCAGTCGTCAGTCTCTCATTAGGTTTCTTACTCCTTGTCACTCAATGCAGAGGCTGCTGCAGCTATGCTAGAGTCAAATGATGCTTTTAAATTTGTATAAGGCCTTAGAGTTCATCCAATATAAAATAAAAAAAAAATGGGGGGGCCAGGGATTTAGCTCAGTGGCACCACACCTGCCTCGAAAATGCAAGGTCCTGAGTTTGATCCCTGGTACCAAATATATATATCACATATACATACATATATACATATAATTTTTTTTCTGGAATCATTAGCCAGAGCAGTTAGATAAGAAAATGAAATAAAAGGAATAAGGATAGGAAAGGAAGAAAAATTATCATTATTTGTGAATGACATGATATTCTACATAGAAGAGGCAGATTTTCTATAGCTGCCTATCACCAGCATAAGAGCTGAAGCTTTGCTAGAGGCAACTCATGAAAAATTACATAAAGCCTTGCCAAAAATTTACATAACAAACAGACAGAATGCATACCTCAACCTTATTTCAATTAATGATATGCTTTAAGAATCCTTTATCTTGACTCCCACAGCACTTTACAGAACTCACTCATTGCTAACAATATTAGGCAATTATAAAATTATTAATTATTGCTGGACCAGTCTGTTAGGTAAAAATCTAAGGATGACTTATTATTTATGGAAACAAATATTTGATTTTCTAAAAAATTCCACCTCTCTCTTAAGGCAGTCAATACACTGCCGAATATTATATCTGGTTTTATATATAAATATAAGCACATTTTACAGTTTTACGAGATTAGAAGACTCCAAATTGCGAATGCCTGTGTAAATCTTGGACCATCATGAATATTAAACATCTCTAACTGCTTAAGCAATCAAGTAGCTCAATTATATACCTGAAATAATAATTATATGAAAAAGATGTTTATATGAGGAAGTCAGACAGTTTACAAAGATTTCTTTTAGCAAGAATCTAATGCAGTGCAATTAAGGCCTTAATGATGGGGAATGATGAAGAATCTGGAACTAGAATGGAAGAAATCCTCACAGGTCTGTAAATTAGGTCACCAAACTGCTGCTGTGTTATAATCAGCACCAAACTGCAAAAAGGAGAAAGATACCTTCCCCAAGACAGTGAACTCTTAGATGACTTACTCTGCGGTATCTTGGAATTACGTAAAAAAAACTTGGCATGTTTGATGATGACATAGCAATGAAAATATTTTATTATTGAGGCATTCCACACATAACATTTTCAGCTGTTATTTTAAAGTATTATTACAACGTATGTTTTGTTGGTTGTAACTGAATCTTGGTTATCAATTCTCTTCTTCTTGCCTAACACCCAGACTTTCTGTGGGGACTCAACACTCCCTTCCTGTAAGAAAGCAATGGGGCTGAGATTGATCCCACCCATCACAGACTGCTAGACACTGACCAGCTCTGGGAACTCTTCCTGTCCTTGCAGCCAGAATACTTCAGTCATAGCACCGAGCCCCGGTTGTGCCCAATGGTCATCTTGAGAGGGGACCCTAGTTCAAGGATGATGCTGACAGTGGGGAGAGAACAGAGCCAACAGAGTCACAGCAAACACAGCCAGAGCCTGTCCTGGTTTCCCAACCACTGCACCTTTCAGTTACCAGGGCCAATAAATTCCCATTACTTTCCTGGCAACAGAAAGCATCTTGACTGAGGAAACCACCCAAAATGAAAAGTAGTGATTGATCTAGCACTATAACAGCCTCAGAGAGGTTAAAAGGATTTAAAATATAGAACCTAATGACAATGATGAATATTTTGTGCTGGTTCTGTACAAAGTGCTTTACAGAGGCTTTACAGAGTTTGAGTATCAATGTGCCTTAATTAGTTTCCTACTGCTGCTCTAACAAAATACCAGAAGCTTAAAGTAGCACATGACTTACCCTCTACAGTTCTGAAGATGTGAAGTCTAACATCAGTGTACACAGGGCTACACTCCTGGAGTTTCCAGAGAATCTATTTCCTTGTCATCTCGAGCTTTCAGAGGCCACCTGAGCTCCTTGGCTTATAGTTCCTTCCACCATCTTCCAAGAACACATGGCTTCACCAAGGGACTCTGCGGCCACAGCTCCTTCTCCTGACTCTCTTGAATCTTTTTTGTAAACACCTGATTACATGGAGCACACCTGGACCCAACCACAGTAATCTCCAGTCTCAAGCTTGTTAACACAACCACATGTACACAGTTCCTTTTTTGATATAAGGCAACAAATGCACAGGTTCCAGAGAGTAGAACAGAGACACCTCCGAGGGACCATTCCTATGTTTACCATGCTGCCTCTACACTATCTGCAGGAAAAGAATATTAAAGAGATTTCTTTTATGCCCCTCCTTTTCCGGGGGAGTCACAATCTAGCTTTAATAAACATGATGGATAGGCAATATAAAGTGCTGGGTAGTTTACACAGTTCTCTTCCAAGGAGGCACAGAGCACCTACCAAGCACCCAGCTTCTCTGGAAAGGCTCCATGCTTTCTAATCCTTAGCTCCAGCACCACAATTCCAGCAAAATGCGTTGGGGATGCACTGGTAATTCAATCAAAGGCACCATGGCAAGGCTGGCGAGGGGTCTGTGCCTGTCTTGGGCCAAGAGCTCTGTCTGACTACTTGATTCTGGATGCTAAGTGGCCTATCTAATTAGATCCTCTCTGCAAAAGTTTGAAAAGAGCCAAAAAACATGAAATCAGTTAGCTGGTATCTTAGTCCATTTTCTGCTGCTGTTATGAAATACCTAGAACTGGGAATTTTATAAATAAGAGATCTATCTAGCTTACAAAACTGAAAGTTCAAGACAGGGCAGCCCCATATGTTTGGCAGATGGCATCATGGTGAACTGCAGGTGAGAGGGAGAGAACTGTGGTGAGTGGGGAAGCCAGAGGTCCTGGAGCCAGGCTTGCTCTTTTCCTAACAGCTCACTACTGTGAGAATGAGCCAGTGTCCCAAAGGAACTGTGCCGATCCCTTCCTAGGGCAGCACCCCCAGGATCCTACCTCTCAAAAGTGCTACAATAGCCTTTAACATCACCACACTGAGGCTCAAGTCTTGGATTTTTGGGGACACATGAAGACTGAAGCAGCCGGTGATGGATGATGCAAGTGACAGAAGCAGAGCAGCGAGCAAGAGAAGAGCAGTGCTACATTTCTGGTCAGAACTTTCTGGGAAGACACCTTATCAAATGCATTTACATCCTGTGTACATTCAGCCACAACTCAAATGGTGAGAACACAGATATGCTAATCATGTCAACAGGAGGAGGCGGTAAAGAAAGGAGACATATTTCTTCTTACTTTGCACATTATACTTGTAGTTCTATTCATGTTTAATTTTAACAAATGTGTCATGGGAAGCATATGGTGGGTGGCAAGGCCCTCTGTGATGCCTGGAGGGGCAGGTTCCCTCCCCTCCTCTTTCTTCTCAGTAGGTGACTGGGGAGGTCTGTGCCACTGGGGCTGAGGAAACACGTGCCCACTTCAAGGAGGCGACCAGCACAAGGACGGCCACTGACACATTAGGGCTGCTGTGGGGCTACAGAATGACAGACTCATCCACGTGGATTCTGAAAATCTCAAGTTTCCTTTTCTGTAGGCTAAACAACTTATCTTCACTTTACACTCTTTATGGTAAGAACTTGGTTATTTTTATTAGTGCCATCCAGTACAGTAGCTATTAGCCACACAAGTCTGGCCAGCGTGACAGAGGCAATGGATTGAAAATTTTATCTAATTTTCATTTATTAAAATATCAACTACATGTAGATATGATAATGAAGTGAATTTATGTCATGGTTTAAACAAATCAGTAGATGTAAATGCAGTGAATTAAACTTTTATGAGTAGCAAAGTCTGGAAACTGAGAAACACTTGAATCCTATCTCTTTTATGGAGGGAAATCAGCCATCAGTATTTGAAATAGTAAAAATAAACAAATTATTTCCTATACATTACATTCTTGTCTATTTATTTATTTTGCAATTCTAGGAACCAAACTCAGGGCCTTCATATGCTGGGCAAGTTCTCTACCACTAAGCTGTATCTCTAGCCTCCCAATTCTGTCTATTTAGGCACTACATTTATTATTAAAATTTCATAACCCATGATTTACCTGTATATCCAGAATTTTTTTGTGAACACTAGACTACCAATTAAAGATGTCTACTGGTAACTTAGTTTGGTTTGGAAAATAAGACAGGTATATGAAATATTTATACAAATATTCAAGCCATAAATACATAATTATAATAAAAAATGTACTTGTGAGTGGCTACCAATTACAGAAAATGTGGATATGTCTTGGTCCTACTACAAACTATTATTAAACATGCATGAACTTGGGTTGGCCACACAATTTTACAGGTGCTCATGGTGCTATGAAACAAAAGGAGTAGACAGAGAAGCCTTTGCTGTTCTAAGAACCCTGACAGTTCATGATCTCTGGTGCAGATGTTGACTGCACTTGACTCATGGGATAGGTCAGTCAAAAGTGGTGCAATGAATTAGGATGAGAATTACGAGGGCCAGGGATTTGGTTCTGCCACCTGCCTCATAATTGCAAGATCCCTAGTTCGATCCCAGGTACCAAAAACAAACAAACAGAAGGCAGATAAGAATTATGGACAGCAGAAAGTTCTCAGGAGCTCCTCATGCAGAACAAAGTGAAGGCAAGGGTAGTGACAGTGTGGCAAGCACTAAGGGTAGCCTACCTGAAGTATAAGGAACTGTTAACTGTTAGAGGGAGTTATGGACAGGAAGCGATGGCCCAGTTTAATAGGGTGCTCACACCAAAACAGAACAATTTGATTTTGATATACCAGGCTGTTTTGAGGTCTTGAGAAGGGAATAAGTACCTGATAAATTCAAGAAATATTATGTGTTGTTACATATTGAAAATATTTTCAACAAAGCAAGAGCCTGAAACTCAAGGCATATGACTCCAAATTCGGTGTTCTTTATGTAGGATAGCTGCACTCCTGTGAGACTCTCCAAGAGCCCTGGGACCTGGGAACCCTGACCTCATACTCCTATTCCTTGGGTGTAATTTAAAAAAGGTAACATCTCATTGCCTTTACTTTTACATGCTGAATCTTTTACATGGACTTCTTCAAAGGACAGAAATTCTGGCATGACTCATTTAGTTGATGGTATATTGATTGCTTCTAACCTGTTCCTTCAAACCCCTTTATAATAATACTTAAAAAGCTGACAATATTTAGTTGGGCAGGTATTTTCATTCTTCAGTTATTGCCAGGTGTTGGCATTTTGTGCTAGGTACTTTGAGTGTGTGTGTGTGTGTTTTTAGTACTGAGGACTGAACCAAGGCTCTGCGCATGCTAGGCAAGTGCTCTATCACTGAGATACATCCCAACCCATTTTCATTTTGAGACAAGGTCTAAGTTGCCCAGGGTGACTTCATACTTGTGACCCTGCTACCTAAGCGTCTTGAGTAGCTGGGATTATAGCTCTGCATCACCAAGCTCAGTGGACTTTGTCTCTCATAAAATACAAAAACAGCACTGTGACCAGGGAGGAACCTTTATCTTATGTGACCTAGAGGTGTTAACAATGCAGGCCTTAACTCTTAACATTTATGCTGAATTTCTCTGATGGATAAAGCATAAAATGTACAAGTCAGAACATTTAACGCTTTTTAATAGAGTTTGTTACTGCAAAATTTTCAATTTTTACTTTCCTTTCTGATACCTGAAATTGCAGGCCTCCTGTGGGCAGCTTGAATGTAATTGTGTACTACAAAGGAAACCACTATTTACTGAAAGAAGTCCACATCTCAGCTGTTTGTCAAATGTCTGGTTTAAACCTCCCAAGGCCTATTTCACTGTTAGATAAGATCCCTCTTTTCGCCTTTTCACATCACTTTGTTTATATTCCTTTTATGGCAAGTATTATAATTATTTCCTACAAACATGTTTTATTATCTTCAAAATATATCTAGAACTCAACTGCTTCCATGTAACCATCTTCACAGCTACCACTCTGTGGTCCAAACCACTGAGCTGCAGGCTAAATTACTGCAATATCCTTCTAAGTGGTCTTGCTGTGTTCACCTTCAACCCCTACAGCAGGCTGTTTTCAACATAGCAGTTAGCTCGCTGATCCATTTCACCCACAACAAAAGCCCAAGTCCTTGTAATGGCCTACAAGGCCCTATATGATCCCCTTCAGCTTCCCTTCCTTCCTTCATTCCCTCCTGATGCTCCATGAACTAACCAGCATGCTTTCGTGACAGAGCCTTAATCTCCTCTACTGGTTATTGATATGTGTCACTTCCTGGCTTTCTCCAAGTCTATAGTAAAATCTCATCTTACAGAGTAAGAAACTTCTCTTACCACCCTATACATGTAAGCAAGACAAATCTCTACTCTCTTTCCATGTCCTTTACCTCGTGTGTCAGCTTTATATCTCTGTGACTGAATATTTGAGGTAAACGAGTTAAAAGGCGGAAGTGTGTCTTCTGGCTTATGGTTTCAGAGGTCTCAGCCCATGGTACCTTAGGCTCATTGCTTCTGAGCCTATGGCGAAGCAGTGTGTCACTGCAGAGGCATAAGGCAGAGGAACATCATTCTCCTCAGGGCAGCCAGGAAGCAAAAAAAAAAAAAAAAAAAAAAAAAAAAAGAGAGGAAGGGGCCAGGGTCCTAATATACTCTTCAACACATGCTCACAGTCACCTGCTTTCTCCCACCTGGAGAAAGTTCCACTACTTCCCCATAGCACCACAGGTCAGGGACCAGACCTTGGACACATGAGCTTTGGGAGGCAATTAAGACACAAGTCATAACAATCGTTTTACTTTTTCCTATGGCACTTATCACATGCATATTGCTCAATCTGATGGTCTGTTTTCCCTCCCTTTAACAAAAGGCAAGGCAGGGATTTAAAAAAAATTTTTTTTGAGACAGTGTCTCACTGTGTAGTTCATACTGCTCTGGAATTCACTGTGTAACATAAGCATTAGGCACACACTCTACTACTGAGTTACAGTCCCAACTTCTTTCTGCCTGATTTTTGTTTACACTTTCCACATCATTAACTGAAGAGACCTTAACAGACCTTTAGAATACATTTTTGAACAATGAGCAAGGGAAATGAAGTTTCTGGGAAAAGTCTACCAAGAATGAGGGGCATGAAAAACCCGACAATCTCATGTAGTGGAGAGCATGCTGGTTTCAAAATGGAAAGGTGGCTGTGGAAAGGAGAACCAGATCTTTATCTGTCAACATTTACAGGCTATGTGAGCAACCATAAATAGCCGTCAAGACAGTAAATATTTAACTCTCTAAACTGGTCATCTTAATTCATTACCTTTAATTTAAAAGCTATTCTGTTTCAGGCCGTTAGTTCTGTGCTCTTCTCACATCAGTGAATCTTTCCAGCAATCTCTGGACTCAGATACTAATACGCTCGCTCATACCTGGCGAGGCAGGAAATATAGACTCAGAGAGGTCAGTGGCCGGTTCAAGGTGGCTTGGTTATTTAGTGTCAATGTCAGGATTTTAACACAAGACATCTGGCTTCCCGGCCACCGCACCGGGCCTGTCGGGGTTGCCTAACTTAACAGCTCTGCCTCTGCAAAACTCGCTACCTAAAAGGCAGATATGATTGAGTAGTTTCCCAGGACAGCACAAATACTACTTTATCGAGGTCCCTGCGGGGAGGCTTTGGCATCTATCATGGGAAGCAGTTTTGCTCACAAATGCCTTGAAACCCCAAGTTTTCTGGTCCTGTGAGTACCACACCCAGGATGAGCAACTAAGCTTAGACGAGACGCACTCTGCGAACTGCAAATCGCCGGAGGAGTGGCGAAGAGGAAGCTTTGGAAACAATGCCCGCAGGAAATGGGGGACCAACAACTTGGTGACAACAGGTACCTGTCAATATTTGGGCGGAGATGCCTGAGGATCTCCAGTCCTCGCAGCGCAGCCGGCGGCCCCCGGAATCCCAGGTCCCCAGGGGCCCGGACACCCAGGCCGGATCCGCCCCCAGCCTTCCTCAGCCCAATGGGGGACCCAACTTGGTGACAACAGGTACCTGTCAATATTTGGGCGGAGATGCCTGAGGATCTCCAGTCCTCGCAGCGCAGCCGGCGGCCCCCGGAATCCCAGGTCCCCAGGGGCCCGGACACCCAGGCCGGATCCGCGCCCAGCCTTCCTCAGCCC